GGAAGGAAAGAAGGGTGGGTGTTGGGGGAAGCGGCTTGTGTGCAGGCCTGTTCTCCGACATACCTTTCTCGACGATGCTCCCGACAAGGCTAGAAGGCGTCGCGAAGACATTAGGCTGTTTCTGTGTTGTGGGATTGAGTCTCTCTCTACTTTTCTCCGGCTCCATCGATAAACCCTCGCTAATCCTTTCCTTGGAGGCTCCCACTCTTTTTCTTCTTCAATTGTGTAGAGAGAAAGGGAACCCAAAAATACATTAACAAGAAAAATTGGAAAACTGCAAGAAAACCCCCCCTCCCCTAATCCACATTTTTAGCATAAACTAAAAAGGATTGCCGAGAGATATTTTTTTCTAAATTATAAAAATAAATATATTTCTTTTAATGACTTTAAACATCTCTAAATAATGTGTTTTTTCCTTTATTAATTTTATTAATGTGCATTTTTATTAATAATTTTTTAACCAAAATCTCTAAATAGACCACCATTCAATCTTTAAAAAAAAAAACTAAAATATTTTTGTTTTAGTTGACTTGACCAGAATCTGTCTACACTTGTTCCGCTTACTTAAGGACTTTGTTTTTGTGCGTTTGTTTCGTCTCTTGTGCTAAACAAGTCCATTCTCCAAAAACTCCACATAACATAATAATATTGTTGCTATTACCAAATACTCCACATCGTAGTCAGTCGGACTAAAAGAAAAAAGAAAACTTAGACAAGAGACAAGTCTACGTCTACAAGCACCACTGATTTACATTGTTTCAATCTCTCTCCGGCGTCACGCCCGTTACTCTTCTTGAACTCAGGTTTCCGGCATACGACCATGCTTTCTCTGGTTCGCCGCCCAGTATGCCCTTCTCTCTCTTCACAGTATACAGCGGCGGTGCTCTCCTCGGGCTCCTCGATGCCAGACTTAGGGAAGGCGTTGCAAATGGGGATCCGTAGGGAGAGCCTTGTCCAGAGAAGGGCTTGAGTCCACTGAATAGGGAGAGTGACTCCGTGGCAGAGACTGATCTTCTCATGGCATCATCGACATAAAGCACGTCATCTATTCTGGCCGTGATGTTGAAGGCCATGCTCTCCATCACCCTCGAGTAACTCTCCAGAATTGCTTGCCCTACATCCTGCAGAAACCCCATTCATTTAAGCCATCTCAGAGATCATCCTGTAAAAGCACCACCAATAACTCCTTGTTAGTACCTTGTTGTACTGAATCTTGTTCATGTCCAGCGTTGTCTGGGGAAGACCCGGGAAACGGATCCTCAGACTCTGCAAGAGGGTCTCAGCTCTCTGCACAAGAAAATCATTTCTATCGGTGGTGTCGTTGACAAGGCCTTTAACCTTGCCACTCCATGAAGACAGCTTTAGTTTCGCCTGCTTCTTCTTGTGCTGCTTCCTCCTCCTCCCATTCTTCTGTCTCCAGACGTGCACGGCAGCCTCAACCCGGTTGGCTATTTCAAGTGTCTGATGTTCCGTTGAGAGATCCAGGCAGTCTAGGAGGCATTCGGGTGAGAACTTGTCTGCAGTTAAGTAGTGGTAGATGATCTCTCCAAGGCATTCCTTCCCGCTCTGCACCAAGTTAGAAGAACATATATGAAGAAGAAGAAAAATCATCAGATATCAATGAGGAGCTAAAAGGAGGAGAGATGAAGAAACCTTGGGCAGTGCCTCCAAGTAAGGGTCGGGTATCTCCATTTCGGCGAGGACACCACTGTTAATAGCCAATGCAGCCTTGAGAATCTGGTTAGCAAAGTCCCGACACTGCTGCAGTTTCTTCCTCGTCTCCTGTGACAAACCGTTAGGCGGAACCTTAGGGCAAGGCAGCCACCACTTGTCCTCCTGCCTAACGGAAGCTGGAGAGTTGTAGGCACACTCTCCTAGAACAATCCCGCGGTCAGTATACCAGAACTCAGTATCGGAGAAAGCGTCGAGCATATCAATCAACATTGCGTCGAGCTTCCTGAGAGCAGGGAGGTTGGCATACAGATCAGAGCGCGGCCGAGTCTCCATGATCTCATATGTTCCGCCTCCAGGGAACTGCTGAATGGAAGGAATCAGCTCAACGATGGAGTCGCTAACACACAGTAACCATTCCACTTCTCTACGCCACATCGCCTTCTTCTGCGGAGCAAGAGGCTCAAGCCTCCATAGCTCACCAAACACAGTCGCTGCAATTCCACTCCATCCATCATCATCATCATCATCATACCCTTGGCAATTAAAAAATGATAAGAAGAAAAAAAGTTCCCTTCTTTGCTTTTACCAGAGAGATTGGTTATGGCGTTGGAGATCGCAAGCGCCGTACAAACCCCTTTACCGCCTCCTGACATGTCTTCTCCAAGAAGTAGCTTCGCAAATCTCTCCTTCATCATCTCAATTTCTATTCCCCGTGAAAACCCAAATTACTACTATTACGGAATAAATTAAGCAGCAATTTAAGACTAAAAAGAAAGTGTCGTCCTTTGACTTGGGAGGAATGTATTTACCGGATAAATCGCTCTCCTGTTTCTCAGACTTGTCATCCCAAACCACATCTTTCCCACCGATCACCGGAAGCATAACAGGCGCCGGGAAGTAAAATCCTCTCCCGCCGCCTCGGGGAGACGATGCCATCGAGCTTGAGGCTCCCTCGCCGTCGAAGCGCCGGCAAGAGAAGCTGCTCGAACTCTCCGACTCACTAATGTCGGCGCTGGGGCTGTAGCTTCCGCATCTCTCGGAAGAGGCTTCTTCGTCTTCCTCGGAACATAGACTCCCCATTTCTCGTAAACCTTCTTCACCGGTACAGATCCAACGGCTCAAAAGATCAACATTTGAGCAGAGAGACAGAGATATAGGAGGAAGTGGGTGTGATGATGGTTTGATAAAAAGCAAAGATGAGAGAGAGATACAAAACAAAACCAAAAAAGCGTCTGTGTATGTATATTGTATAGATACATGCCTGTGTGTATGTATAGCGTCTACTGCGCCGTTATCCTCTGCCGTTAGGGTATGGACCAAATGAGGTTGTTAACAGATTCGCCGTTAACTCACAGTCGTTAGATTTCTGGTTGGTTTGGGAGGGAATAGACGTGGCATGACTTAACGGCGGAGATCAGATAGTCCACGGCCCTTCTCATTTGAGGAGCATGCGCTTGGTTTATATCAACCGTAGGATGATATTCAAGGAACCATCAGGATCTTCCCAATAGAAAAGTTGAGAATCTCTCTCTAATTAAGCTAGGCCTGGAAAATAAATTAAAAAAAAAAAGCCTGACATTGTGTGGACAAGAAGCATTCCTTGTCGGATGAGACTCCCTCCCTCGTACCGGCCTCTGAAGTACGTTACACACACCATATCTTACCTCGTGATCTTGCGCCACGTGGCTTGAACCTATTCGTTTAATCTTTACTGCACAATACTATTCTGGCGTCATTAAAGTAATCCGATCTCGTTCACGGCTTGGATTGCGTTTGGTCACTGGATTCCGCTGTTTTCGACGATTGGTAACGAATCTATGCCGTTTATTAGATTATACTACTAGACTAGTAGTGTTGTAATTAATTATGCCTTTGAATTTGGGTTAACAACCAATGTTAATGTCACTGATCACTAGAATGCTGTGGAATGGTGTTGATTCTCATGCATCGCTTGCGTTGACTTCTATTTTTCTTAATCTCTTAATCTTTTCTCTTTCTTTCTTATATACACCTTTCACCTTCCAAATAAATGTTTGTTTTCCTCCTTAGACATGATACTCTTTGTTTTTTCTCTCCGTCCTAGTTATTAGAGTGAAAAAAAGAAAGGAGAGGTGAGACCGAAGTCAACAAGACAAGGCCGATCATCTCCAAGTCAAAGAAGAGAAAGAAGAGGAAGAAGAGGAGTGTCAAGACCAATGACATCAAGACAAGGCCGAAGACAACTCCAAGATCTCTCAAAGAAGAGAAAAAGAAGACAAGACAAAGCTGAAGAAGCTATTGATCAAGTCTAGCCTCGACCTAAAGAAGAAGAACTGTACGGCCAAGAGATTCCAAGAGATGTCCGTACAAGTCCAAGATCGTGTAAGGCCGAGGTCCATCAAGACAAGAAGATGAAGAGTGTGGAAATAAAGCCCAAAAAATGAGGAAACAAAGCCCACAAAGAAGGAGTGTGTGGAGGGAAAACGATTTTGAATTAAGGAGGAAAGTCACATGTAACTAAAAGCACATGTGATCTCTAGGTGCTGTCGCTTTCACCCTTAGACCACAGACTCTCTCTCCCTTTGGAGGCGTGGAATAGAAGACTACGATTTCCTCTCTTCATTTGTCTCTATAAATATGATGTATCTGAGCTTGTAAAAGACACACCAATTAATAGACAAGTTCTTTCTCTCTCAAATTCGTGTTTTACTCTTTCTCTCTATTTTGTGCTTAATTAATAACTACAATGTAGAGAATTTAAGAGCCACGGCAGCCTAATACTTGTCAAATTCACTTAAACTCTTCTTTATTATCTTCTTAATTCTCTTCTCAATCTCTAGCTTACTGATTCATAATTCTCTCCTTCCTAAGTACACAAACTCTAAGTGTTGTGTTACTTCACAAGAATTAGTCTCAAACTAGAGTTTTCTTCCCTTTATAGAATCGTTTTCTTTATCATAGATTCGGTTCTTCTCATGTTTATTGTGTGGATTCCATCACAAGTTGATAGTCTCTTCTTTCTCTTGAGATCGAGTTCTTAATGTGGGTTAAGTGGTTCATTCACCAAGTGAATGCTTCCACCATTTGTTGAGTTTTGTCTCATAAATCTCAACACTAGTAAACATGCTTTTCGTTAAATTTGTAGGCTTGCAATATGTAATTGCAAAATCTAATCAAACTTTCACCTATTCTAACAAAATTCTATACCGATAAACATTTTTAACGTGTTACTAGTTTGGAGTTCTTTTTTTTTGGTTTTATCTTAGTTATTTTCTTTGCATCGTATGCTGATTTGGCAAAATCCAAATTAATGATGATATGAACAACTCGTAAATCACCTAGTTGATGATCATAAACACAATTCAAAATTACAAATATTACTTGAATAAGTTTTGATAATTACGTAATACAAAGAATGTATCTATTTTGAAGCTATTTATTTGGTGTAGAATTATGCATAAGGAAAAGAATCTCTCGTCTTTTATTTTCTAAATAAATAGAATGTATTCCAAAAGAACATGAGTATTGGTTAACTTATCCAATTAATATTGGTATGAACTGAGTTATGGAAAGACTAACTACGGAGTGATGTAATTCTTTGTATGTTGGAGGCCCGACCACATAGCAACGCATTTTTGGGCAAAAGATATTCATCCCTAATAGAGTGAACTGGTGAGTAAACTCGAAGGTAGAACTGTTGACCTAAGTATTGTCTCGCCCAAAACTCGCTCCTTAGATTCCACATCCCAACATTGTCTAGTGCCACATATACGGCTGTCCAAGACTCTGGATATACCTACAACAACAACAACCAAAAACACATGTCAACTTTTGGATCAAAATGGTATCAAAGAAATCTTTTATATATGTATAGATATATGTATATCACAATTAAAAGTGTTCATACCTGAGTGGTGGAGCGAGAAACAGCATCCCTGAGGTTATATTCTCGTCTGCTCGCATGTGACCATGTTCCTCTATCCATCCTGTGGAAAACTCACAAAAGGTTATATTTGACACATTCATAATAGATATAGTCTGATGATTATTTAGCTAGTACTGTTCTCACCCGACAACCCAGAAACTGTATCCATCTAGGTGGTAACTCTGGACGATCTTCTCGCGGTTTTGAAAGACAATCTCAAGAAAGGCCCTGTGGTGTGCTCCCATCACTGAAGTGTCCAACTTCACCCCTCCTCCTATCCTCCTCGGCTTGTCAGGAATGCTTCCCACTTTGAAAACTCCTCCGATCTTAAAGTAATCTGCCAGCTTTAGCGGAGTGTCCGCATGCACAAACGACACGCCGTTTATGGCGTAACGTTGCTTCCTCTTCACAAGTGCCGCTGAGCTTTCTAGTATTAAAGTCCTGGAGATTTTGATTCGACCATAATGGTATGAGCCTTGAGGGTTGGGCCTCGGCCCAGACGCTGTCAGGTTGGTCCTAATGGACCGGGCTTGTTTGATAGACCAGTCAAGCTCATCGGCAAGCTGTCCATCAGAGATAGGAGCGGAGGAGAGGTTCTGTCTGGAGTTGGAGTAATGGAGAGTGGAACTGACCAGGAGTTTCTTGGCGGTAAATCTTGTGGCGACGACGATGGAATAGTCTTTCTCAGGCTGGTCCATGGTGACTAGGACAGAGTAAGACTGACCAACGTGAATGTCGAGTGAGGTATACATGGACTGGACCGTGTGGGTTCCCTCAACCTCAACGAGCTTCATCTCATGGTCTAATATTTTAAAATTCAACGAGTGTTGAAGACCCACATTCGAGATTCTGAATCTATACGTTTTACCTATTAATTCAGAAGTCCACAAAAAGTGATGAGAGAAAAAGTAGTAGCCGGAGTTTTTTTTAGTTGGCGAGATGAACTATATAGACGGACCTCTATGGACGGTGAGTGAAGAAGAAAAGCTGACTCCACGGCCATTGATCAAAACCTCATCGGGCAAAGGTAGCTTGTGTCCTCTATCCAAAAGTGCCTTCAAAGTCTGAAATATATGCAGTTAATTAAATATTGTAATTGACACAATAAACAAATAAAAGAAAAAAATAATTATTATATATATATAAAAGAAAATGTACGTACCTTGTGGTCATGCTTAGTGTACCAATCACCAATGAGGAAGGTGAAATCTCCGGCGGGGTCAGGGAAAGGGACGGGGATGCGAGGGCGGCTGAGGATACGGTGGCCACCAAAACCACCGGCGGCTTTGTGAAGGGCGAGGGATGGGAAGTAGAAGAAACTACCGATCTGGTCTTTCACTTGGATCGCATATGTATAGTTCTTGCCCGGTGGGATTGGACACGTCGTCCCGTAAACTCCATCTTGGTACGAGTTCTTCCTCAGTTGTACTCCGTTCCTTCAATATTTATCAATTTTTGTTTATTATTATTTGTTCCTAATTAATTAATTTGTCAAAGCTAGCATATTTAAGGGATACCCAACAAGATAACAAGAATATTTTTATAAATGTATATATGAAGAAACGGCACATGTGCATGCAAATTGGCTCCCTCATGTCATGGTCTCATATACCAATTACAAAATAAACGATCAAATCCTTCTTCTGATATAACGTAACTGAAGCTTTTATTTAATACATAGCTAGGAACGGGCCTTGATACAATTATTAAGCTGGTTAAGATTAATTGATACTACCGTTGCATTGTTTTTTTCCATATTAGTTATATAAATATATAATCAGTGTTAGATAAGATGCAATCTCAATATAGTTAAGATACCGATAGATACCGAAAGATACGATAGATACAAATCTATTTTGAGTATATCTCTAATATTATGATAGACTCATGTACTTTTTATATATAGTTCTCTTATGAATACAATGATCTTTACGGAGTTTTCCCAACTTACATTCAGATATGCAAATATGTATGATGAATATGGAGTTTAATTAAGAATTGTTTAACAAAGAAGCCGAAATTAAAGAAAGTGGTAAAAAGAATGATAAATAGATACCAGGACAGGAGAAATGGCTCGTCGAGATCGTTGTGAACATTGATGATCAAATTGTTATTGGTGACTGAATAAATCTCAGGTCCAGGAAATTGTCCATTTATCAGGATTCCCTGCGTGTATATATGTGTTAATTTAGATAATAAAAATATAAAGCATGATCATACAAACAACACACACGCAAGAAGACATATATGATATTTGATTGATCATGGAAGATAGTGTGTACCCTTTGTGGAATGCCGAGTGGATAAATGTTGCCGTAAGTGACCCTCCAATCGAAAAAACGGTAGGGATCTTCAGCATGAACAAAAGAAATGATGGTCATCATCATCACCATGCAAACGCCGCCGTTTAGCAACCACTCCATACTCGCGAGTCGCAGATTTTGATGAACCTTTTGATATATAGTGAGGACTGAGGAGGAGGGCCAAGGAAGAGAAGGGTTGAAGGGTGAGTTTTGGAGTTCGTAGAAACCGAACAATGACGTATTTAAGGGAGTCCAATTAATGGAATAAGCTAATTCCGTGTTTTATTCAATTTTGTAATATACAAGGCCCCACCTACCTCTTCTTCATTAATTATGTATAATACTTATACTCTTAGCAAGCAAGCCCATTAATTAATTGATCAGCCTTTAGGAGGTGATTAATTTAATAATTTAAAGTAGTAAATAAAACCGGCGAGGGGTTTGAAATGTTTCCATTCTCACTTATTACGTTCAGGCTTCATTTCATCTTCCTTGTGTGGTATTTTGAAGCTACTCCGGCAAGATCGATCGATCGATCGATAACATAGTTTATATTTCAGTAAATTTTATCGTACGTATAATAAGTTACAGTCGCATATTGTTCATATATATATATGTTTGGTTTCTACCTTGAATAGGCATATATATTTTTTATATTTTAAATGAAGTTGTTGTTTCTGGTACAAGTAGCTACGACACGATACATTACCGATTGAACGCGTAGGAAATATATGATGTACTGTATTATGCTGGAAATAGAAGAAAAAAAAAAGGTCGTTAACAATAGCAGAAAAAGACAAAATGAAACTGCGAGGTGCAGGTGGGTCAATTATATTAAGCGCGTAAACGTTGATGGAAGATTTTGCTGAGTTGGATTGACTTAGGAATTTTTTTTTTTTTTAATTTTAGATTTTGCGAGTAGATAGATGATGATTACATATTTCAATGGTCAACTTTGATAAACAGATGTCAAACCCCGAATTGTCCGGCATATATATGTGAGTGATTAATGGCCGCCAGCCCATTCATTGTCTCGTGTCAGTGGTTTACTTTGATTGTTGGATTGGTAACTCAAGTTTGTGTCGTCCTTTCACTTTCAACAATTAGATTAGTACTCTTAGTTTGATTTAGTTTCGTTTTCACATACATACCTGAATTAATGAGCTAAAATGATCTCTGATGACAATCAAACGCGTGAGGGATTAAATGGGCCTCACTGCCACTAGAAGAAGAAGAAGAAGCCATGGCAGCTGGAAACACAAAAGTCACAGACTGTCTTCTTCTTCTCCCCGTGACGCTGTCTGTGACTGTGAGAGAGATTAAAACGTATCTCTCATTTCTCTTCACTTGTGTTGGTACACATAATATCCGTGTGTGCGCCTTTTGCCTTTTTCCAGTTTTCCGTGTTTTCAAAACGGGCCTTTGTTGGGCCCTTTTTATCCATCACAAACTTATAACTCACGCCACCATCTCCAACATCACCTAAAACCCGCCTTATCGTTTATAAGTTAGAGCATCTGTATTGGGGGTTCATGAGGGGTTTTAAGGTGAGGTTCATATGTTTTTTTGATTTAAAAAAAATGAAAAAAACCTAGTATACTTAAAACCGGTTGTTAATTAAGAGTTTTTAGAACCATTTTTAGAAGGGTTCATAACTAATTCGCTGCATCTAGAAAAGAAAAAAAATTTTGATGCTCTCTCTCCTCCTCCTGTACTTTTCTTTACTTCTTATTTTTTAAACCCTTTATAAGTTCACCATTGTAGATGAAAAACATCATAGGTTCTAAACTTTTATATAATCAATTCTTTTTATTAAAATAATAGTTATAAACCCCAGGTTCACCATCTACGATGGTCTTATAACTTAATGATGAATCCCTCGATTTTCATGGAATTCATATTAGACCCCTAAATTTATAATTTTTAAACCTTTTACTTTGATCCATACTAATAAATAAGGCATTTCCTTCGTACAAATACATTTAAACCCTAAACGGCTTCCATTCATTAAATTTAAAGGGAATCATCATTCATTTAAATTCTCTTGTAAATAAATACTATGAGTTATTTTTAAGATTCCAAGAGATTTCAAAATGGAAAGACACGAGGAGGTGAACAATACATGAAGATGAAGAAACTTGTGCTGAAAGCGAAAGTTTAAGAAAAAAACAAAAAACGAAAAAAGGGTCTAAATTAACTAGGTTTCCTTCTTCTTCTCACCATCGTCATGATCATGCTTGGTATGACCAGGAAGCTTCTCCTTGATCTTCTCCATAAACCCTTTCTCCTTGCTGTTGACATGATTAGGTTCAGGTTCAGGGTTTCCATGGTGACCCCCGGGAAGCTTATCCTTCATCTTCTCCATAAACCCTTTCTCCTTCCCATCCTCGTGTTCATCAGCCTTGTTGGCTAGGTCATGACCTTTAGCAGCAGGAAGCTTGTCCTTGATCTTATCCATGATGCTTTTCTTCTCCTCTGTTTCACACTGATCTGGAGCATCTTCCTTGTTGTGACCACACACCTTCTTCTTCTTCTCCTTCTTCTCCTTCTTTTCCCCATTTCCACCCGCTTCCTCGTCACTTGATGACTATTGGATACATATCAAATCATCAAACAACAAGTGTTAATTTATTATCAGAAAGGTGGAGTCTAAAGTACAAAATGTGTGTATCTCACAGAGCTGTCAGAAAGGTGGAGTCTTTCAGCGAGAGAAGGCTTCTCCGCATCCTTGTCTTCCTTGGTCGTCGTCACAACGGCATTCTCGGAGGAAGGTTCGTCTTCGGGCTTCTTCTTGAGAAAGTCAAACATCCCACAGCCTTTGGAAGCTGCATCATCGGCTTCCTGCTGCTCACTGGAACGAGGATGATCCGCCATCTCTTAAACAAGTTACGTTGTATATTGATCAACACCAAAAACTCTAGTCACTTTCAATTAGTTGACAGTGAGACTTTGGTTAATTAGCCCCAGCAACTGTCTATTTATACTAACTCGACCTCATCACCACACCCACTCCCTCTCTGCTGGCTCTTTATTTTAAATTACAAGTTAACTAAGCACTAGGGTTCACGCTTAACCAAGGCGTTGCCGGCAAAATTTGTACTAACAATTCAATATTTAATCCCCATAACTTTGATCGGAACAACGTTTCTGTGTTTTTCGAAGGTATATTATTTAAAACAGTAGTTAGTACATATGACCGAAAACCCTGTAAACGGATGGTCGGTGTGGACGGTCCACATTATCCCAGATACATAACCAACAAAAACAAAAAAGTAATTAAATTGTGGGTAGGAGATTAAATTTTAATTTGGAATGCTAAGGGGGCCGAATCAAGAAGATGGGCTTGAAATGGTCAGCCCAAAGAGAGACCTCCTGAGCAGTTGCAATCCTGCTTTCTCTAGCCATACCCAAGCTAACTAGCAATACTTTAAAACAGCATAAAACGGCTAAAATCTAGACAAAATCCTAGTCTTAGATTTTGTATAATGCCCCCGACAACGAAACCCAAAACAAACAAAAAAAAAGAGAGAGAGATAGAGAGGGAGGAGTATGAGAAGATATCTTCACATGTCGTAATCAATGCCATGGATTTGACAGAGTTGTTCTCACATGGATGTTTCTTGGTTACCAAATGATCTGTTCAATATCGAAGATTTCCTTGCCTTTTTTTTTTAATCAACATTTGAACAAACAAACTTATACATTACAGGATAAATAAGAAGACACGTACGGTAGAGTAAGATTAGTAAATAAAATCGGAGGGACTAATGCTCTACATCTAATTGATTTATTACATGTCTAGACTGCTTTTTTTTAGTGGAAATGAGTTGTTATGAACGTTAAAAGTAAAAAAAAATTCTTTTAGTTCTTCAACCTACCTTTCATTTGCTTTTGACTTTCTTCAAATCCAAGAACTAAAATATTATCGAGCAAATTTAAACTACTTAAGGAACAAAAATTAGAGAGTAGGTAGTTATATGATAAAAGTAGAAAAAAAAATAGAAGGCATGGGTAAAAGAGGAATCATTGTCTTAAACTCTTAAAAATAACAAAAAAACGAAAATGTACGGGTAGAAAACTAGAAGCAAAGGCAAGTGATTGAAAAAGGGAAGAAAGTGAAACTGGGGTTTGGAATGTGTGTTAACAATAGCAAAATAGATCCAATAAGAAACACTTGGGAATTTGTTCTTATCTTTTCCCTCCTTCCCAAAGCCATACCCTTTTTTTGGAGTATTAAAACAAAATGCATTCTTAATTAACTTAAAATATGTTTTGTTTTTGCATTAGATCAGACAATTCTTTAATAATAATAATCTCCAGATATGTTTGCGCGTTGAGGTTAATCAACTAGAGTATATTTTAATATTTGTTGGGTAAGTTTAGAAAAAAAAATATAAAATAGGCATAATGTGTGAGATTATCTGATTATTGGTGATGTGACTCTGGTGAAGTTTTAGGGTTTAGGGAAAAAGAAAAAAAAAACAGGATGCCGACATGTACAAGGCCCGAGGAGGAGGAGAGAAAGAGGGGCACAGCTGTGATGCAAAGAGTCGGTGCAATGCCATGTCATCCACCCATATTGACGACACTTGGTAAATGGTCCTTTGTTATTCTTAATTCTAACTCAATAATAATAATAATAATAATAAAATAAAGAGTTGTGTGATTGTCAAAAGAATCAGAAGATTTGATAGTTTGGTGAGTTGTGGAGTTTAATAGACACGCCAGCCAAGCCAGCTGCTCTCTACTCTACAATAGTAGTGTATATGATATATGACGTGACGTGTGTGTTGAGACGCTGAGCTGGCACCCACTCTCTTCTCTATTACGATATTTTATGTCATATATATATGTTCACTCTCCTCCTTCTATTCTATTCTCATCGCATCTCTCTCTCTTAATAAACTTATAAAAGAAAAACATAAACAAAAAAATGGGAAGCTGTTTTCTCTTCTTCGTCGTCGCAGTCGTCTTCATCTCCTCCTCCTCTTCCGTTCACGCTTGCGACCGTTGTCTCCACCGCTCTAAGGCTTCTTATTTCTCCTCTGCTTCTTCTCTCTCCTGTACTCTCTCTCTCTCTGTATTCAATCGTATGTGTTTTTGTCTTCTTTTTCTCATATTTTTTTTTTTTTGACTTGTTAATGCCTTTGCAGCCGGAGCTTGTGCCTATGGTTCTCTAGCTACTGGTTTCTTCGCCGGTCACATCGCCGCCGCCGTGCCTTCCATCTTCAAAGACGGCGCCGGCTGCGGAGCTTGCTTCCAGGTGCGTTGCGTCGACCCTGCTCTCTGCACCACCAAAGGAACCACCGTCATGGTCACAGACCTCAACATCAAGAGCAACCACACCGATCTCGTCCTCAGCTCCAGAGCCTTCAGGGCTTTGGCCAAGCCTGTTCTCGGCGCCGACAGAAACCTTCTCAGACGAGGCATTGTCGACATTCAATACCAAAGGTACACTCTTTTTTTTTTGTTTTGTTTTGTAGTAGTAGTAGATTTCTTTGTCTAGTGAGTAATAAAGGCAGTTGAAAACAGAGTTCCTTGCGATTATGGAAACAAGAAGATGATGAATGTGAGAGTGGAAGAAACAAGCAAAAGCCCAAATTACTTGGCGATAAAGCTCTTGTACCAAGGTGGCCAAACCGAAGTCGTTGCCATCGACATTGCTCAGGTGGGTTCCTCGCGTTGGACCTACATGACCAGATCTCACGGTGCCGTCTGGGCCACCGACAAAGTACCCACCGGAGCTCTGCAGTTCAGGTTCATGGTTACCGGTGGCTACGACGGCAAAATGCTCTGGTCTCCGAGTGTTCTTCCCGCCAACTGGGAACCTGGAAAGACCTACGACGCCGGCGTTCAGATCACCGACATTGCTCAGGAAGGTTGTGATCCATGCGACGCTCACATCTGGAAATAACTTACTCACTTACTTACTCGCCAACAATTCTCTTTTCTCTCTTTTTCTTTTTCTTTTACAATGACAAAGCAGAGCCTCTTTCCTTATTTATGGCTTTCATCATTTGATTAACTGAAACAAAGTGTTAAACTAAGAAAGGTTTTAAGGGATATATGTACAAAAGAGGTCTCTCTATATATATATATGTACACCACCATTCTTTTCTATCTGTAACCTTGCATCTTAGTTGACATTACTTTTTTTTTTTTTTTTGGCGAAGATATTCTTTCTCTTTTGGAAAAAGAATGTTGTTGATGCTTGCATGAAACGAGGCTAAATAAATAAATTAATTAGAAAAAAGGGTGGAGATAATTAGTCTAAGAAGATCTCTTCATCAACTTCTGATTGATCCGAATCGCTTCTAGAGGGCAAGGGGACATTCCCTGTTTCTGAGTACGCCCATGAGTCATGCTCATCTGCTGTTTCATTGAACTTTGAATCCGAGGTTCTACAAATGCATGAGGTTGGGTTCTCATGGAACTCGCCTTGTCCTGCTTTCATTTCATCTGGTTCCCCCATGAACCCTGTCTGGTATCTCCGGACCTTGGATGAGAATTCATCCCATGTCATGTTGTGTCTGTTTGTGAAGAGTTTGTACAGTTTCTTGGCGTTCGGACGTATGGTCAATTTGTGTCCCAAGTATCTCCTGCACATCCAAAAGAAAAACATTTGAATGTATATTAGAGAAGTGAGTGAGAACAAGTGATGTCAATTAGAGACACCCAGCAAGTAATGTATATATTATATATATACCTTCTTCCAGCTAAGATTCTAGCCATGTTGCCGTTGTTGTTGGTGACAAATGCGTCGCTCTCATCACAGACGATGAAGTCAAGAGCAGCCATGCGTGATGAGAAGCGCGCAAACGGAGCCAATTCTTTCTTGGAGGCCAATGTCTCTTTCGTATGGAGATTTGGAAACAGAGCTCTCAGTGGTGCCAGTGTATCCTCCCCTCCGTAGACCTCGCCTGATGCAACGTACAAGTGAACCTCTCTCCCAAAGCCTAAGCCCCTAAGCATCAGACCGATTTCCTCTGGCGTCAGCGGACATCTCCCGTGCTGCCTTACCTTGTCAGGGTTTGCCGCCTGCACATACCCAATACTAGCTATAATTGAGTTGCTGCTATTACCGGAACCTCTCTATATATAGATATATATATATATATATATATATTCATTTTTCTTATATGGTCTAAACCAAAAGTAAAGCATGCCCCTCCTTTCTCACATGTAATGTTTTCCACCTTCTTCTCATAGCTCCGAGTTCAAGTCTCTCTTTCTGGCCTCCCCCATAATAGCATCCGGAGAAGGCCAACATATCAGGTTCGAACCTATAACCAACATGCAACATTTTACCTTATTTTTTTTTCCCTAAGATAAGAGTAGGAATTTCCGTTGTTTGTGGGTACCTGAGATGAAGGGCAACGAAGTGTTTGGCTTTGTTTCTCATCCGGTCAACCAGCATTTGGCCCATCCTGTTGATAGACTCTGTATATCTCACCGCATGGTAGTTCACTCTACACCTCAGCTTCTGCAGCTCTGTATCCAGATTGTTGGACAGCCTGTAATCGAATTTGGAGAGTTGTACAATCTGCAAGTACATCAGAATTGCAGCAAATGAGAGCATACTCTCTCTATATAACATGATACGAGGCCAACTTAGTTTTTGGGAGTATGAGAACTGACATGCTTCTTATTAAGAACGGGCAAAACACGCTGCAAGTAGCAAGAGGGTGTGCACTTCCTGGGGACACGCATTGACTGTAAGCCAACGAGTCTTGACTCTTCTCCTCTAGGGAGCTCCTTGACGATCTTGACATCTTTGGAGAGATGCGAAATGAACCAATCAACATCAAATATCTCTTCAAAGTTGCTGCACCACAATTATTATTATTATTTTTGTGTGTGTGTGTTAGAAGTTAATTAGAAACAACAAAACCAAACATATTTGCTTAAAATGAATGGGAAGAAACAGAACAAGACCTGGTGTCCTTCCAGTATGATTTCTGGTCTAGTTTAGGGACCACAAGAGTGGCATTCAGAATGTAAGCCGCAACTACAGCATCTATTATCTGCTTTAAGAAACAAAGAAAGAAACTGGCCGGGTACATCAAGCAGCATTAACCTGCAATGCAGCTTTTTGTTTCAGTACTTGACAAGAAACTCACCCCTGTTCGCTGTTGGTTTAACCCTCCGCTTGTAGCGATCAGTAAATATCGATCTCTTTGACTTGTCTTATCCAAAACTTGCAGCCACCAATGCAACAATCAAAACGAACTCTCAAATATTGATTTGGATCATTTAAAGAGGAATGCTTCTCTGCACTTTAGAGGCTCAGAATGTTCAAGCTGGGGTACCTTGAAATGTGTCAGTGGCATTGCTGCAGCCATAGTAGGACTTGGACATTCTCGAGCTCCATAACTGGCGATCGGATCTTCCGCCATTTTCCTGAGATTACATAATGATCATTGATCAGGTTTTTATAAAAAAATCCGGTGAATGTTGCAAAATTTAGGGTTTTACGTACGGGTACAAGGAACTGTGCCGTGGGAATGGGGTCTGAACTGGGTTCCACGGTCACTTGATTGTTCCTCTAAAACCAACAAGAACCAAAAACAGAGCAAAGTTTTTCCGACTTATATGTATATGTGTATATATATAGATATGTGTGTGTGTGGAAATGAATGTGAACGTACGCGTAGTGGTGAGCGATGGATCACGGGAGGAGGAGAAAGTAAAGAAAAGGAGAAGAGGAGGAAAAGGAGGAGACCGCCGGAGACGGCAGAAACAAGCGGGAATAGACGGTGACGGCGGCGAAGGAGAAGCAGTAACTGGTGTCGGATTCCGGCGATGACCAGCCTTTTCTTGTCGGGTTCATCGCCTTTATCCCTTTTCTTCGACTTCAGATTTAAAGACGCCATGAATCGTGTAACACAGAGACAGACACAAAAGAGGACAAGGTACCGGTACCGGTACGTTACGTAGGAGGGCAATGAGGCTACAACGAATAAGAAGAAAACAAGAGAAATGGGAAGGAGAGTGTGCAAAACGACGACGAGGAGGAGGAGGAAGAAGAAGACGACGCCATTTCTCAGATGACGTTGTTAAGGCAGAGGACAAGTTGGTTGCCGATAAACTATGGACAGACTCCAAACTAATCTCAAACAAACACAAATACAATAAACAGAGAAGGAAAAAAAAACACACACACACACAATATGAGTTTAATTTCTTTTCTCTTTCTTTTTCACCCATATTTTTATGCCTCCTCAGCAGCAAACCACCGAATCTCCCGCTCTTTCCCATCTGTAATTTACTTGTTTTTTTCCCTTTTATTAATTAGTTGTTTCTTATCTCGAATTTATTTAGTTGAAATTTTCGTAATTTTGTTTTTTGTAATTCCGAAAACAAACTTATCCTATTTGTTTTCTTTTTTAAACTGCTAACTCGTTTTAGAATCTGTAAGTTGAATGAGTGTTAGGATGGTTTAAAAGAAAAAGTTCCAAGTCAAACAAACAAAAGCTAATATTAGAATCTGTGTGTTTGAGTCAACATCTCAGATACATGATAAAAACAGAGAAGAAAAAGTCTTAGTACTTCTGTACTTATGATACACTACCACTATTTGAATTAATCAGGTCATCCCTCTATAATTAATAATAATGATAAAGAAAAAAAAGAGAGGATGAGCAAAATGCTATCTCCTGTGTGCAAAATGGTTTCGGACAGAACCGAAAGGGACGCAGAATCGATAACGTGCGTGACAAAAAAGAGTGAACGATTTTCTTTGTTGCAAGGCATATAAACAAACAAGCCTCCTTATCAGTGGGCCCTAATGGGCTTATTATGAGTATTATGGATGGGTTTGGATAGGCCCATCTACCAAATGAAAAACAGCCTTTGCTCCTCCGGCAACAAACGGTTAACCCCTGATTGAACCCTCCCTCTTCCTCCATCGACGATCGCAAATCACGACCTTGCCGATTCCGTGTGAGTTTCTCTCGCTTTTTTATGCTTCCGTTCTTTCGTCTTTTCTGTTTGCCACTTCGACTTATATACTCTCATCTTTTGCTCCCATCGTTTCTTTTTTTTTTTGGGGTAAAATTCGACCATCGTTTCTTTTTTGTCTGTTGCAGAGTTAGTTATCCACTTTTCTAGCTTGAAAGAACCGGACTTTAGGTTTGCGATTCCTCCTAGAGTCTTTTTGAAGTTTATCTTTTCTTAGGTTGCTGCAGTTTGGAAGATGGAGTCCACTGCGAGATTAGTGGGTGGGAATCAAGTTTCGCTGCCCTTGAAGAAAAGGTTTGCCAAAGTGAAAAAACAAGGCAAATTTCTACCTATATCTGGGATAAATCAAGTCTCTCGCCCCCAAAAATGCGCCCTTCACTCCAATCCACACTCGAATTTTCCTTTCGTGACTCGCCAGAAGAGCCAGATTAACCCTGACTGTGGTGTTGAATCTCTCCTTGGGGAACAAGATGATTCTATGGAGAAACTCCCGTAAGGCTGCTGAGGTGTCGCGTTATCCCTTTGATACTCTTTGTCATGTTTGCTTCGCGTTTCTTGCCTATGTAATGCTTTGATCTCTCTCCTTGCTAGGGAGGTGAATCGTGTTCACACACGTCCCGTGGATGTCAAACGAGAACTCGTCATGCTCTCTCTTCCGGCCATTGCTGGACAGGCTATAGATCCTTTGACGCAGCTCATGGAGACTGCATACATTGGAAGGCTCGGTATTTTTGTGCTTTGGTTTACCATGGAAGAGTTTTGTTTGTCTTCGAGACTTCTAAGGATACTTTCTCTCGAATATGCAGGATCTGTAGAGTTGGGTTCGGCTGCCGTTTCCATGTCCATCTTTAATACCATATCAAAGCTCTTCAACATTCCACTCCTCAGCGTTTCCACTTCTTTTGTCGCTGAAGATATTGCAAAGGTTGCCGCTGAAGATTTAGCATCAGGTTAACATCAATACTAGCTTTTTTTTTTTTTTTTTTTACTTTCTCAAATTTCCCTAGCCTTATATCTATTTGAATGGATTTACAGAGGCTAGTCGTAGTGACATACCTTCTCAAGGTTTAGTAGAAAGGAAACAGTTATCTTCAGTCTCAACAGCGCTAGTGTTAGCCATTGGAATTGGCATCTTCGAAGCTTTGGCTTTGTCTTTGGCATCCGGACCTTTTTTAAGGTTAATGGGTGTACAATCTGTAAGTTCGGCCCAAACAGAGCTTATCATCTATTATGCATTGAGATTCCGTGAGAAATATGCTGATAAATTCATGTTTGGTTCCAGACGTCAGAAATGTTCATTCCTGCGCGGCAGTTTCTTGTCCTTAGAGCGCTTGGCGCTCCTGCGTATGTGGTTTCTTTAGCTCTTCAAGGCATTTTCCGTGGATTCAAGGATACAAAAACTCCAGTCTACTGTTTAGGTTAGCATTCTTTGAGATCCTTTGACATAGTCCAAGAACATTCAATATTTCCTCGATTTCCATTGGTTCCCTGATTTCCGTAACGCAGGTATTGGTAATTTTCTGGCTGTATTTCTGTTCCCTTTGTTCATTTACCAATTCAGGATGGGTGTAGCCGGGGCAGCAATCTCTAGCGTCATATCCCAGTATGTATCTATAGATTTTTCTGCTTCTTCAGCTTTCCTCTTTTTTTTTTTTTTTTTTCCTCAAACTTGCAGAATGGTGCAAAACCTCTTTTCTCTGATTCTCAGGTACACTGTTACCTTTTTGATGATTATACTCTTGAACAAAAGAGTTATGTTGCTTCCTCCAAAGATGGGCTCATTAAAGTTTGGCGATTACCTGAAATCTGGTATGCAGGCAACAGTCTCTCACTTTTGGGATTTATGGATGTATCTGCTTGCTCTCAACACCCGAAATATGTTAGGAGTCTCATATAGTTTATGAAATTTCTTAGGTGCTAGGTGATCTGTAGACAACAATTTCACATCACGAAAACTTAGTACTCTGTACATAATATTTTTACAAATTTCTCAATTATTTTGTGATTTGGAGGCAATAGAAAACGTAGATGTAGTCAACACGCAAAGGATTTGTAAGTATCTAGGCGTTAAACCTTCCAATTGATTCATAGGGGGATTTGTTCTTGGAAGGACTCTTTCAGTGCTCGTTACCATGACTGTTGCCACATCAATGGCGGCTCGTCAAGGGGCTTTTGCAATGGCAGCACATCAAATATGCATGCAAGTGTGGTTGGCGGTATCTATGCTAACGGATGCGTTAGCTTCATCGGGACAGGTATTAGATTTTCAGCTTGGTCGTCATACCTAGAGATTTTGGGCTATAATTTTGGCATAAAAATGTTTACTACAGTCACTGAGATAGTTTTGACTTGTGAGGGATGGTATTGAAGCCTTGTGTTCTGTTGATCAGGCCGTAATCGCGAGTTCTGCATCCAAAAGAGACTTTGACGGTGTGAAAGAAGTTACTACTTTTGTTCTGAAGGTTTGAGCACACTTCCCTCTTTTTCAGTTCATACTCACTTCATATGCAACGATGAATCGTGTTTAACTAGAGGAAGTTGGGCGAGAAAGGACAAATATGTAGAAATGCTTCAGGGTACATAGTTGAGATGGAAAGATGTTTGCTCTCGTAATCATTAAAATGCTGCACTAAAGAAGTGGAGCCTTTTTTTTTTTTGTTTTTTGATCTTGTTGATCTCTTGTTATATGGTGAGAGATGTAATGTGTTTAGTGGTGTACAGATAGGATTGGTGACAGGCATTGCGCTGGCTATTGTGTTGGGGATGTCATTCAGTTCAATAGCTGGTTTGTTTTCCAAAGACCCTGAAGTTCTGCGGATTGTGAGAAAGGGTGTACTGGTAAGTGATGTATTTGAACAAGTTCAAGTTCTTTTACAATGTACTCATTGTAACATGTATTTTCAGTTTGTAGCGGCAACTCAACCAATCACAGCGCTAGCGTTTATCTTTGATGGACTGCACTATGGCATGTCGGACTTCCCCTACGCAGCTTGCTCGATGATGGTGGTGGGAGGAATATCATCAGCGTTCATGCTGTATGCACCAGCAGGGTTGGGGCTAAGTGGGGTCTGGGTGGGGCTGAGTATGTTCATGGGGCTGCGGATGGTGGCTGGATTCTGCAGGTAAAGAAAGAGCTTTTTATGTTACAAATTGGATAAAAAAGTGTAATTTTTTTTTGTTTTGTTTTTGGTATAAAGCTCTCAAGTGAGAGTTTGCTTTGATGAATTTTAGATTAATGTGGAAGAAGGGTCCATGGTGGTTCATGCATACAAGTCACAAGGTAACTTATTGGGTTTCCTTGTCTTCTTCTTCATCTTCTTCTTGCCTCCAAAGCTTTTCTTGTTAATTCTGTTTCCTAATTTATATGGCAGCATCTTGCTTGAAGCTGAGAAGGAGAGAGAGACAGAGACGTGCCCATCTTTAACTTGTTACATACATATTATTACTACTACATTTTACTCATTAGCTTCGTTTGTTAGACAGTCTTCGATTTCGTCCTTGTAATCAATTATCTCAAAAGTTAATTGAGTTATGAAATTTCGGTTAAAATACGCAAAAGCCAAAATCCAAAACTCGTGAAAAGGTCGATATTGACAGTATTCTTGAAATATGATTTGTCGAGGAAGAAGAGAAGAGAAAGGTTCAAAGGTTTTGAGTTGTTAATTCACTTGAGATTATTGTCAAAGCTTTGTTCTTGTCGAGAGAGAGAGAGAGTGAGAGAGATGGATTCGTCAGCGTCGTTTGTGGGCTTTAGTGTTTTATGACATCATTTTCTTAGAAAGACAAAGCGAACATGGAGGTTTTTTCTTCTGTAACAAGACATCATGCTCTTTTATGTTATGTATCTTCAAATCTGTACACAAATATATTCAATATTTTACGGCTTCTAGGTGATCATCCTCTTCTGCAAAACCCCTGCGCTTCGAGGAGAAAAATGTGGAACAAACTTAAGAGCTACCGACACTGGTCTCTCTCGGATGTTTGTGAGAATCTTCTCCAATGTTTAATCTTTTGTGATCCATCTACGACCCCTTACTTCAAATCCACTATAAGCTTGATCACTGCTGCTCTCTCCCCCGCTTTCCGCACTCGTGTACCCTGATTTTCTCCGGTGCTTTTTGGTCCTTGTAACTCCGCTGTCACTAAAACTCCCATTCAAAAGCGGATCATCGATCCCACGAATCACTCGCCGACTAGATGATGACATGCAGCTGTCATCCTTAACTCTTCTCTTGTCCTTGTCGTGTTTCTTCATGTTCTGGGAGATCTTGTGCAGTTTCTCATTGAACTTTGTGATGCTCTTCTCCATAGGCTCCACTGCTTGAGTCACTGTGAACCTCACGTCTTTAACAATCTACAACATATAGCCTCTTTATGATCAGAAGCTTTTCATCAGACAATCATTTTATTTGGACGTAAGAATTAGAAGGAAGACTCACGTATTCACCACCACCAACGAAAACATCTCTCATGCTTTCTTTAATGGTCATACCACTTCTGATATCAACGTCAGGATGAGGAAGGCGGACCTTCGTTGGTCTCTCACTGTCCCTAATTTCATCTGGATCAATAGGACAGTCGACAGATGCATAGTCCCCGAGAACTGAAACAGATCCAGTAAAGCGGTCTCCCATTAGACCGTAAGGTTTTGCTGGGAATACATACAGGTGAACAACGGAAGCAATACCCATCTGCACTGGACCAACACAAGTGTTCAAAATTTTTGATTCATTTCAAGAAAAAAAAAAAGCAGAGAAGACTTCTTAGACTGTTGTAAATAGGAAATGACGACGAATTGTTTTTACATAAAGGTCACACATGATGCTTAGTTATTTTGCAGGAATTTTGATAACAGAAGAGATCTACCTCTATGCAAATGATGAAATCTTGCACACTAGTCTTCAACTGCAAGCTCTGTGCAATGGAACTTTTGAACAAACCGAGGGAAGAGAGAAGAGCAATGGCAACACCTTGCCACCAAGTCAAGAACACGATCGATTTGAATGTTAGAAATTTTGCCAGCGGCTTTATGTGCGCAAGCTCATCTTTTGTTGCACCATAGAACTGAACCAGACAGTATAATGCCCATGACTGACTAAAATTTAGAACAACTGCCAAATAAGGGTACCTACAAAAAACACAGACATAACAGTAAGATGCCATATCATAGTCCATCATATATGAAACTGATTCTTGTTTCTTAAGGCTGAATCTTTATGTTTCTTCATTCTCATAGAACTGTGCTTGTCAAAATTGCCTTCAACGTACCCACATCCCCATTTAAACTCTCCTTCACAGTACACCCCGAACGCTTCAAGAATCAGAGCTGCGAGGGCAGTCAGAGACTTTATTATCATCTGCCAAAGGAGAGAAATAGTTTACTTCCACCTCAAAGACAAGACTTTGGAGCACGAGAAACAAGTTAGACACCAAATATTTGTGGGAAACATACATATTGAACAATACCAAACTTAACAACTTGATAAAACCAGTGACTGAGCCTCCACGGTTTTAAGAACAAATTCATAGGAAAAGGATGTTTTATTGTTCCCTTTTCATCATCCTGATCTAAAAGTGGCGTCTTAAAGCTCTTCCGCCCCTGTCTTTCCATAAACTCAATTGTCCTTTCTTCCCCACCTGACAAAAGAAGTTAATATTAGCATGACAAGATAATCAATTTGTCACAAAAGTACAAATAATTCACACTTGTGCGAGTAAATGAGCGTCAAAGACATGCCAACGGCTCCAATTTCTAAGGTATCCAAAAGATAGGGAACCTAATCGATACTAAGGGAATGTCTTAACACTAGCACGATAGCCACATTAAAGCGTAAAGCTATTGAGAACATGCACAGATAACTGAAAGATTCCAAACTAGTTTCCCAAAAATCCCAGAAGCCATGCTGAGAAACAACATGAGAGTAGTCTATTAAAGCACTTTGTAAGTTCTTTGGGGCAAGAGAAAAGAAAACAAAATACTCAAGATGGTCATACCTAGGCACGCAACAAGGTATCTACCAAAACAGTACATGGCAAAGGATTCATAGCAGTCTCGTAGAATCCCACAATCAACGCTGATGGATGGTTTGACAAGTGATGCAAACTGTTCAAACAAACACAGTTAGGATAGATAATTTTTGAGGAACAAATTCAGAATCCCTTGATAAGTAACTTAAATCCTTTAACGATATTCTATGAGGTCATCTAGTATGGTATCATATCAGTTGAATACGATTAGAGTGAGAGGCTTACACCTCGATCCAAAAATCTAAAAACCTGAGTTTCCAATTAGTAAAGTTACTCACCGACTCTACTGAATAGCAAGGAACCATGAGGATAACGCCGATCAAAAACATTTGCTCCTGAGAAGATCATTGACAAGATGACGATAAGAAGGTAAAAAAGAAAATAAAACCCAAGGAGGAGGAGTAGAGACAAACCTCAGGGTTCTTGTAAGTAGAAAGGTGATCGAAGACTAGATACATGGAAAGGGAGAGCGTGAGAACCAAAAATGCACCGGCCATAAAGCTTGCCCATGCGGGAGCCGAGTAAGTAAAGAGTTGATAATACTTTGATATATCCATCACCTAAGCCGAATTGGGTTCAACTATATGCAATCACCGTCGTCATCATCAGGATGAGCCAATCAAGTCCATAACACTTGAGGGAGGGAGGCAAAACATACAAAAAAGATAAGCCATTAGAATCGAATTCAGCTGCAGAAGACCTCGACAAAATTTTCAATTCCAGAGAGTGATTTTCAAACTGGATCCGCCTAAATTGATGATCACATAACCGATTTGAACAATGGTCGGAGACATACAGAGAAAAGCGACTACCCAATGACGAGGAAAGAAGAAGCCCGACGAACGGCAATCTCGGCCGATTGGAGGAAATCAACAAGTGAAGGAATTTATCAGACCTCACGTCTGCAAAGACAAAGGAGATACCTTTTTTCTCATCGAGGATGAAGGAAGATGGTCAAAACTTCCAAAACAAAGTTGAAAAGAAGGAAAAAAAAAAACGAAACACCCCGAAATGGAAAACGGCATGGATTGCTAGCATGAAATACTTAAACGGCAAACATACTCAATAAGATATTCGTCATCGTCGTCGAGGTGGCTTTACTCTCGGATTCTGTGTTAGTCAATCTCTTTGCAACTTCCAAACCCCCAACTGCTTCAGATTGCTTTTTCCTCAGGAAAGACAAAAAAAAAAAATGGCGATCCCTCTCAAGCTGCTTGCAGCTCTTCTCCTTGTACAGGCATCCACTTCATTCTCTGCTTAGTATCTTGGAAAGATTTCAGTTTTTTCTTCTGGGCTTTTCCGTTTGCGGAATTGCATCTAGTTTGCGTGTTTACTTAAAAACGGCACTCTTGATGACTTCTATCTTGCTACTTGTCTTCATGTTCAGTGAAATACTTGTTCATATCTATTGGTGATGGATGATTGTAATGTTTCAGGTGATAAATTTCTCAGCTTTAGTCAGCCCAGAGCTAATCAGCTCGCAAAATATACTCAACACCCACTCCGCACCAAGGTAAAAATGCCTTATTGCTCAATCTCTTAATAATTTGGTGCCTACCACTTCTCTTTTGACCCCTACATTTTTTCATTTATAGACATTCAAATGATTACTGCGCAATGTATGACATTTGTGGAGAACGCAGCGATGGAAAAGTCCTTAACTGTCCTTATGGTTCGCCATCCATAAAGGTACACAAGTACAAGGACTAAAACCATAAGGCTTTCTTTACCTTTTTTTTCTTCTGCAAGTCTGAGTGAATGTTGTATTCGTTTCTGCAGCCTGATGAATTGTTTTCTGCCAAAATACAAAGTCTGTGTCCAACCATAAGCGGGAAAGTCTGTTGTACAGAGACTCAATTTGACACTTTGAGGTCTCAAGTTCAACAGGTGAGACCTTTCTTTGCTATTACATCTGACAGATAACAAAGACGGATCACTACGCAAAAAGAAAGCTCTTGTTTTGCACTCTTTATTTTGTGATTTCTTAAGAGTGAATCTCTACGTACTTTCTTGATTACTCTATGATTCGTGCAACCAGACAACTTATTCTTCTCTTATTTTCTCATTCTGTTGTTTCTTGCTATAATCATGCCATTTACTAGTTCTTCGTTGATGCGATCTATTGTAGGCTGTCCCTTTTCTTGTGGGTTGTCCTGCATGCTTGAGGAACTTCTTAAACCTCTTTTGCGAGCTCTCGTGCTCTCCCAATCAGTCTCTTTTCATCAATGTCACTTCTGTGGCTGAGGTTAGCTTCCGTTCCCTTGATCATTTTCAAAAAAATAAGTTAATATGGTTAACTACATTATCACTGGCCATACTTTTGGGGTTTATTCCAGGTGAGTGGAAATTTAACAGTGGATGGTATAGACTATCACATAACTGATACCTTTGGAGAAGGGCTTTACGAGTCCTGTAAAGAGGTGAAATTTGGAACTATGAACACACGTGCCATAAACTTTGTTGGTGGTGGTGCTCAAAACTTTAGAGGTGCTCTGCAGTCTGTTTCAAGGCCTTCTAAACACGTTTTATCCTTGTTTCAAAAGTTCCACATTTCATTTCTAGTTCTGCTTTTACAGAGTGGTTTGCGTTTATTGGTCAGAAAGCACCACCTGGCTTCCCTGGTTCACCATATGCAATAAATTTCAAATCTAGTACCCCTGAGCCATCTGCAATGACGCCAATGAACTTATCTGCTTATTCTTGTGGTGACACATCACTTGGATGCTCTTGTGGTGATTGCCCTTCGTCACCCGCTTGCTCAAGTCCCGAACCCCTGCCGCCCCATGAGGAAGACTCTTGCTCAATTAGCATCGGTCATCTTAAGGTTAGGGTTATGAAATGTACATTATTGCTTGACAACATTAATGAGCTGGTATGATCTTAGATTTGATTGTATTAATTTATATATGTTCAGGTTAGATGCATTGAGTTATCAATGGTACTCGTATACATCTTGCTGCTGTCTTGCTTTTTCGGATGGGCTGCTTTAAGTCGAAGAAGAGATATAACACCGCCTGGTGGTAGCTCAGAGCTACTATTGCATCCTGTGGAAGGAGATGGAAGTAGTGGTGAACTGAAGGAAAGCACACTTGGTGTCAAGGTATATCAGTGTGTTGGCTAGTTGTACTTCTTCTGTGTATGTATATATTTATCACATATAATACATATACACACATATATGCTGAAGTATCATTGAAGATTCATGCTGGTTGGTTATTCTCTATTTATAGGAAAGAACTACTTGATCACTTGACTTTCTTATCTTAGGTGAAAAGATATGCTCACTTCTCTCCTGTTCAGAGACACATGGCAAAATTTTACAGGTAAATCTCCAGGATTTTGTTTCTGTTGTCTATATTTTACCCAAAACGTACCTCTACAATAAGAGATAAACCAGAAACTGGGTGAGATAGAAATGTAATTGTTTCCAATTGTTTGCCTCAGAACATACGGGTCATGGATTGCTAGAAATCCATCTCTTGTACTTTTTACGTCGGTGGCCATTGTTCTTGCTCTCAGTTCAGGTCTCTTTCAATTTAAGGTGGAAACACGGCCCGAAAAGGTATGTATTACCTCTGCCAGGACAATAGTTAGACGAACTCTTTCTGACATGAATTTAGCAGCAAAGCCACTGCAAAAACTGATATGATTGCTCATGTGAATTTTCTATGTTTTGTAGCTGTGGGTAGGTCCTGAAAGCAAAGCAGCAGAAGAGAAAAAGTTCTTTGATAGTCACCTTTCGCCATTCTACAGAATCGAGCAGGTAGTTTTCTATATTTTGCTTCGCCTATCTATATTCCAAATTATTATTCACAGATATCTAATCTTTGTTCACGATTTCTTTGTGTGACAGCTTATCCTGGCCACTGTTCCTGATCCCAAAAGTGGCAGAGCACCTAGTATTGTGACGGAGGAAAATATTCTTTTGCTTTTTGACATACAAGAGAAGGTAATTGAAAAATTGCTTCAATCGTTTATTAGTCTAATTGAGTTCTACATCATTTTTTTTTTTTTATTTCAGTGTCACCCGTTTATTTATTCTGTTTCTTTTGATTTTTTGTTTTCCTCCAAATATCACAGGTCGATCAAATTCGTGGAAATTATTCAGGTTCAAAGGTCTCTTTGACTGACATTTGCTTGAAGCCATTGGGAGAGGATTGCGCCACTCAGAGTATTCTGCAGGTTTATAATTTTCAAGCTCGTGGAATTCTCAACGATTTTAATATATTTGTAGCTTTTCATTGTTTAGATACTCGGCGTGCCTCCATCAAAAATTGTCTGGCACACGGAATCGCAACTTTATTGACATCTCCTTTTGAATTTCATTTTCAGTATTTCAAGATGGACTCTGGAAATTTTGATGAATATGGAGGAGTCGAGCATGCTGAGTATTGTTTCCAGGTTCAATTTTTCTTCAGTATCTTGATCATAGCCAATTTTCGTCAAAGATGGGGGATTAGGGTCATTTACTTCCTAATTACACTGTTGAGTGTCTGCCCTCTTGTTTAGTGGTTAAATACTGTTTTCTGATACCCTCTCTCTTCAACCTCCAGCATTACACGTCATCAGAGATGTGTTTGAGCGCTTTTCAAGCGCCTGTTGATCCTAGTGCAGTGTTGGGAGGATTCTCGGGGATTAACTATTCGGAGGTAATGGTTGCGGAACTCGCTTGCTCAGAAGCTTTTGGCTGTTATTCTGACCTTAAACGAAACTGTAATTTCAGGCTACTGCGTTTGTTGTAACATATCCAGTTAACAATGTCATTGGTGATTCAAGCAACGAGAACGCAAGGGCAGTAGAATGGGAAAAAATGTTCATTCAACTAGCAAAGGTTTTTCCTGTTTAAAAATTTTCCTCTTCTTATCTCCAGGCTTAACACTCTATATCTCCAGTTTTTCCAAAAGCGATATAGTTGTCATAATTTTTTTTCTTTTCTTACACTTGCCAGGAGGAGCTGCTACCTATGGTGCGATCCAAGAATTTGACTCTTTCTTTTTCATCCGAAAGCTCCATAGAGGAAGAGCTGAAAAGAGAAAGCACTGCCGATGTTATAACGATAGCTGTATGATAACAGAGATCTTTGAGAGTTATCTCTTAGCATCTTCCTCCCAAGATTTTCATGTCAGTGATCTGTTTTTGATTTCCTTCACCAGGCAAGCTATCTGGTTATGTTTGTTTATATTTCCGTCACACTTGGAGATGCTCCGCAGTTTGATACTTTCTACATTTCGTCAAAGGTACAAACGTCTTGATCTTCCTCTCAAGTGCGCTGGGTCTTCATATGATACGTTTGGATTTACTTGTACTCACTGTTCGCAACTGAAATGATCTAATGGCTGAATATAGGCCAGGGTGATCCTTACAGAACTATAGATACTCCCTATTTTCCTCTATTCCTCGCTGCCATGTGTGCATATGATCTTTGAAGCTATATATTCACATTTAAATATCTAGGACAAGGGATACGAAAGTATTGTGGATGTAGATCATATTACACAGCTTACATTCTTTTTTTGATAATATACACATACATACACACACGGCTCACTTACCAATTTCATGACTTCTAGGTCTTGCTCGGTCTTTCGGGGGTTGTGCTTGTCTTGCTTTCTGTACTTGGATCTGTTGGATTTTTCAGTGTCCTTGGAGTTAAATCCACATTGATCATAATGGAAGTCATTCCTTTCCTAGTCCTGGCTGTAAGTTCGTTTTCAGCCTCTTAAGTAGAAACAGTAGAAAAGTTGGTATATCTGTTGATGAATATACTGATGGTTTTTCCATATGTTAACAGGTGGGAGTAGATAATATGTGCATATTGGTTCATGCTGTAAAGAGGCAACCTCGTGATGTTTCTTTAGAGGAAAGGATCAGCTCTGCACTTGTTGAAGTAGGTCCATCCATAACGTTGGCAAGTTTATCCGAGGTTTTGGCTTTTGCTGTTGGAGCTTTTGTTCCAATGCCAGCCTGTCGTATCTTTTCCATGTTTGCAGGTTTGTATTATATTTAGTGCTCCCTGTGTAGTACACTAGTTGCCAGTCTGTGACACTGTTCGTCACATGTGCAGCTTTGGCTATTTTGCTGGACTTCTTCCTGCAAATCACCGCCTTTGTTGCGCTAATAGTTTTTGACTGCAAAAGAGCTGCGGATAACAGGATTGATTGTTTCCCTTGCATAAAAGTTTCTTCATCGCCTCGAGAGTCTGTTGAAGGTTACTTCTGGAAAAATTTAGAGTTAGTATCTTTTAAATTGTATCATTTCCTTCAACTGAGCCAGGGATTTTTTTTTTTTTTTGGCGTTTACAGGTGGAAGAGAACCTGGGTTTCTTGAAAGATACATGAAGGTACTTTGATTTTCAGAAATGGGACAAACTTCCTCTTATGGTTAATGCACATATGATACGTAACAAACATGGAAGCGCAATCCGCGATCTCGCTGATTCTTTAGTCTTCGTTTTCCACAGGAGATTCATGCACCTGTTCTTGGAGTTTGGATCGTAAAATTGGTTGTTATCGCTGTATTCTTGGCTTTTGCGTTGGCAAGCATTGTAAGTCTGACTACATTGTGCTCGTTGTTTTGTTTTCACTGTTTTATATATAAGCCATTTTCTTCATTTTAACACTCTTTTCGATATAGCGCTACAATATAACTATATGACAGGGAAATTTTTAAAGAGACAGGGCGTGAATTTTAATGATTGTTCTCTTAAATTTTCTGTGTTTATATTCACTCAGGCCCTAAGCCCAAGGCTGGAAACTGGCTTGGAGCAGAAAATTGTTCTTCCTCGGGACTCTTACCTTCAAGTATAGTGTTTTCCATTTTTAAATGCTCCTTTAGTTGTTTTCCGTGTGTTCATTTATAGCCCATTTCTCCCAATCACAATTGGAATTTTTTTTACAGGACTATTTCGACAGTCTCTCAGAGTACCTCAGAGTGGGGCCGCCTTTGTATTTTGTAGTCAAGGATTACAATTATAGGTTCTCTATCTGATACGCACACACACACACAGACAAAAGCCCCTCTCTATGGTACGATTTATTATCTAGCTGTTTCTCTGCACTGAAATGGATTCTTTTGGCAGCTTGGAATCAAGGCATACAAATCAGTTGTGCTCTATCAGCCAATGTAATTCGAATTCCCTTTTAAATGAGGTAATAATAATGATATGTATACTGGAGATGCTCCTGTTTAAACTGATCTGCACTTTAGTCAGTAATCGATGTGATTTTCTCTACTAAATTCATCATATGAATTCTTTAAGTTTGTTGTATCTTCAGTAAAGATCGCCTCGTGGTGCCACCAAGGCTTAGCACATTTAAAGGGCCACCTAAAAGGGTTTAGTCCCTAACACTCTTTTGTTTTCCCCCACCTTCCACCAGATATCAAGAGCGTCACAATCTCCAGAAACAAGTTACATTGCCAAACCAGCTGCTTCTTGGCTCGATGATTTTCTTGTATGGCTATCACCAGAAGCGTTTGGCTGTTGTCGGAAGTTCACTAATGGCAGTTATTGTCCTCCAGATGACCAGGTCAGTCTTATCTCCTTGAGCTTATTGCGGAAACTAAATTGGTTTCTCAGTTTCTTTTGTCTCTTTAGCAGATGTAGTTCTCTTTTTAGTCACAGAAGAAATAATAAATGATTCATATTCTAGACTCCGATGTCGATTTAATTGCCTTCAATCAAACATCAGCTGTTTAAAGTGTAAACTGGTTTTCCTGTTTCTAACTTAAATTCTCAAGCTACAGCCACCTTGCTGCACAGCTGAGGAAGATATATGCGGTTTAGATGGGATCTGTAAAGACTGTACTACAGTAAGCCTCTCTCTCTCTCTCTCTCTCTCTCAACAATATTTAGAATGGATCTAATTCTGTAAACCTTGCAGTGTTTTCGACACTCAGATTTGGTTCAAGATCGTCCATCTACAGCTCAATTCAGGGAGAAACTACCATGGTTTCTAAATGCTTTGCCATCGGCTGACTGTGCAAAGGGTGGTCATGGGGCTTATACGAATAGCGTGGATTTAAAAGGTACTCTAGAGTTTGCTTATAAAGAAAATCTATTTGTACTACACGTTTTTCATTTTATTTGCTTTTGGTCTCGACCTCTTTCCGGGACGCTTGGATTTTTCAGGGTATGAAACTGGTGTTATACATGCATCTGAGTTCCGTACATACCACACTCCACTTAATACACAAGTATGACAGTTTTGTTTTTGGAAAGAAACGCAATTAAAGAAAACTCACAAGTGAGAATCCTGAGTTTGTCTATGGAAAATTTCCTCAGGGTGACTATGTTAATGCACTGCGAGCTGCTCGGGAGTTCAGTTCAAGAATATCCAATTCCTTGAAGGTTTGAACTTGGTGATGAGTTTTTCATTAAAGAAGTATAATTAGTAGCTGGCTTTGCTGGAAGGAGGAGGGTCCACCATATGTCCATATGTATGTTTTGTTCTGCTAAGCTTCCTATATAATAAGCCTTTTTTTATGCAGATTGACATCTTTCCATATTCTGTCTTCTACATTTTCTTTGAGCAATATCTGAATATCTGGACAGTAGCTTTGACAAACCTCGCTATAGCAATCGGTTTGCTTCTCATCTATCAAATACAGTGGTTTTTAGTTTTTCTAGCTTGTAAAATACAACTCTTTAAATTCCATATTTTGTGGCAGGTGCTATATTTATCGTTTGCTTATTAATCACTTCCAGGTCAGTTCTCTCTCTATACATTATGCGAAATTTTAAGATGTGAAGATGTCCTGATGTTGGTTTCTGTTATTTAACCTGTCAATTTCAGTGCGTGGAGTTCAGCCATCATTGTTCTTGTATTAGTAATGATACTCTTGGATCTCATGGTACATGTTTGTCACAGATCCGTAGAATATTGTCCCGATTTGGGTCTTGGTTCATGCGATCCTGGACGCTAATAGTTATGGTTAAGGGCTAATCATCCTTGATGTGTTTGAGCAGGGTATGATGGTGATTCTGGGAATCCAACTCAATGCAGTTTCTGTTGTGAATTTGATAATGTCGATCGGGATTGCTGTAGAATTCTGCGTGCACATATCACATGCTTTTCTGGTAGGAATAAGCCATGTCCCTCTGTAAATTTACCTCGAACACTATACTGCATATACTGGTTCTACAATCTTTAGCCATGTTGTATCAGAACAACTTTCCTCACAATTGTTAATTTGTTCGTGGTTAAGATGACTTAAGAGTGTAGAACAAGCCATGTCACTTTTTGAATCTAGTGTCTGAGATATAATATATTTATTTCCCGCACTGCTTCAAATGCAGATGAGTAGTGGAAACAGAGAACAAAGAGCGAGGGAGGCACTGGAAACCATGGGAGCTTCAGTTTTCAGGTGATAAAGCTTGCTATCACTTGGTCCACTTTTAATTTCTCCAAAGCAATTTTTTTTTTTTGGTATGTTAAGGTGTTAGTCTAATTGGTTTGGTAATGAAATTTGTGGGACTTAATGAATGAAAACGCGTTGCTGGGGACAGTGGGATCACACTCACAAAACTTGTTGGAGTGATCGTGCTTTGCTTTGCAAGATCGGAGATATTTGTTGTAAGGACACCCAAATCCGTTGCCTTCTCCAGTTTCTGGTCTCTTGCTTGAGTTGATTCAAATGGATATGTGCATACAGGTGTATTACTTCCAAATGTACCTGGCTTTGGTTATAATTGGCTTCTTGCATGGACTCGTTTTCTTACCTGTAAGTTAACCTGGAATTGTCTGCTACCATCTCTAGCCATTGTTGACAGTAAGCATCTATCTAATGGGTGATTGAATCGTGCACTTGTTGTGGGTTTCAGGTCATACTGAGTTTAGCTGGGCCTCCACAGCTACACTTGGGCATCGTGGAGCAGCAGCGGAGAGACGAAGCTTCTTCTTCCCTATTGAACTGAGTAACTCCACAGACTTAAGTCTTAATTCAACGTTTGCATCACTCTTGTGATTCAGATATTCCAAGTCTTACACTTTGTCAAAAACTAAATAATCAATGGTGTGATCACTCTGTATCACAAGTTAAGTAACAGGCCTGTGGCCCTAAGTATGCCATGTTGGTACATCTTCTTCTTAAGTAGAGTAAAGATCAAGGGAAATATGAAAGAATTCAAGAGTTTGGAGCAAAATCGTACAATTAACTATCTACCTACTTGAGAAAGAAAAAGAAAAAAAAAAAAAACAAAAAACATTGGGAGATGCGATGCACTGTAGACTGTAATAAGATAATGTTTCTCACGAAATTTTAGTATAGCTTCAAGGAAACCTAGTACAGTATATATATTTTAGTTCAAACGAGTACGAGCCTGCTGCATATGCATTATAAAAAGAGATTTACAAGCCAAGGCAAAGTAAATAGATGTCGTGATGATGATGTAATTAGCCAAGAGGGTTTAGTCGAGATTTAAACGAATGAAGAGAGAGGATGATGAACCAATATTCTGATAGTTTCTTTAAGAGAGGACTTGCAGACTTGTATGCACTCCTCAAGATCAGCATCACACGTCAAAAGAACCCATTCTTGATCATCGTCCAGATACTTGAGACTGAAGTTACTTCTCAAATGATCATCAATCCCAAACCGCTTTGCGATCTCTCTTCTGAGGTCTGTGAGCCGCCAGTGGGGCTGCAGGCTCATCCTCATCTTGGAATCACCAAACGCAGCCTTAACTTTCATCGCATCTTTTGCTTTCCTTGGAGCTGTTGCGGATGGCAATGGGGGCAGGGATGAGGTCACACGAACTGGCCTCTGCTCCTCCTGCAGGCTACTTAGAGTAAGCAGCTGTGGATGGCTGAGAGCTGGTTTGTGGAGGCCACCAAGTTGTTGCTCTTCGGAGGAGTAACATGCGCTTGAACCTGACGAGTTCTGGCTGCCGGATGAAGAAGGCGGTGACTTTGGAGGAACATGTACAGTTTGGGTTGGATTAAGCAAAGAAAAAGAAGAAGTAGATGACTGAAGTTGAGGGAAGCTTGAGTAGAAGGAGGCAAGATGGAGAGAGCCTTGAACTCCCTCGACAGAGTCCATCACCACCTGCAGTTTCCGAAGAGAATGTCCTACTTTCTTGATCTTCCTCGATGGCCACCTTGAGATTCCGTGTTGTCTGCAGATCCTCTTCAAGGTTGTAGGACATACTGCGATATACATGTATATAACTAATACCATTATCATCATCGTCTTAGAAGAGCATATATATATATATATATATATATATGTATCCAAAAGAGAATACATAAAAGACGCACCACCAATGTTCTTAGCGGCATCCTTGAGGCTGCCAGCAAAGTGTTGCCGGAGAATCTCCAAAGTGATATCCTTTTCAGCCTTTGTTTTGCGCTTTCTGTTCTCCAAAGAAGAAGAAGAAGAAGAAAGAGAAGTAAAAGAAGGTTCTCTCACTCCCCCACCAAGATTCAACTCTTCTCTCTGATACTCCCAAGAAACCGACACTTGTTTGCCCTTGTGATCTTTAGCCTCGGGGTCCATGCACGATGACAGCTCCTCTGCGAAAAGTTGTTCTGCTGATCTAGAGTGATATCTCAGGGGCGTGGGTGTGTCCCTGAATTCTTCTGGGAGTTGGCCGTCTACCGTCAGATGTGGTGAGCCCTGGAAGCGTACGCTGAGTTGGGAGGCAAGGGAATCGAGGGTCAGCCTCTGAGTGTGGGTTTCAAGACGACAGTCTCTGGGGAAGAAGAACTCGAGAACAAATAGGACGGAGCGGTTGCCTCTGGTCGTCAGGAGAGGAACGGCAAGAGCAGCGTGGAAGTCGAACATCCTGGCGTAGTGGGAGAGAGGGTAGCTCCACTTGCTGAGGATGGCCACATCTGTTGCGAAACACGGTTTCTTGGTAGCAAAAGCTGTTCCAGCGATCCCTTCGCCGGCGAGTAGATGGTGAGCCGAGCAGGCAGCCAGGAAGCAGCGGCTGTCCTGGTCAGCAGCGTAACAGGCGGAGACAATAGCTGAAAGGCACGAGTCTTGGTGGCACCACGTAATAGCTAGAGGGAGTCCGTATGAGCTGCAGATGCCATGGAGAATCGAGGCCACTTCTCTGTGAAGGTCGTCGGTGTGGGGCTGTGGAAAGGGCACCATTGAGTTTGAGTTGAAAGAGTAGTGTGCAAGTACTAAAGCGTGTAAAATCAAGGAGGCAGAGCAGCAAGAACTGACCTTGAGAGAGGGTGGAACGATGATGGAGGTTTCTGAACTCCGGAGATCAAAGGCCTGCCCGAAATTCCGATTTAGTGTATGTTATTTATATTTAAAAGCAAACGGATGCTTAACCATTGAAGCTCTTCAAAGGTTGCTTACGTCAACCGAACAAAAATATATATAATGCAAAGACATGAGAGCGAGTCAATGCTGAGCAGTGTTCCAACAGTGCAGTGACAAGAATATAAATTTTGCCAAGTCACTATTGTATATATATATATATATGTTTAGTTAGATAGGAATAAAGAAGACTCAATCAGAGACACATGCTTTGTTTTTTTATAATTAACTTATAAAAGACCCCGCCAATTAATATTTTTCATTTCTATCATTAATGTTCCAACCTTTTATACGTATCATCAACACAAAAATGGTTACCTGAAGGGCATGGCAGATGGTGTGAAGTTGGGAGGCATATTCCAAGCTGTGGTCAGTGGTGACCATCTCCATCACGGCCACGCAGTTTTCAGAGGGTCCTTGGAAGAGTGGAAGAGCGAGGGAGGCTCTAACATGGTACCTGCGGGCGTAACCGATGCGAGGGTACTCCTCACTCCTGAAGAAGCGAACGTCTGGGGTCCACTCAGGGATTCTCCTCAGGAACACACGCCCAGGGAGACCCACCAGCTGGTCCGACCCAACCTCTGCTGCAAAGCTGTAGCCTGCTGACACATCTCTGTAGAGGGCCAGGCTCTGGGAGAAGGGGTTTAGGGAGTAAGGCTGGTCCTCCGTGCTCAGCACTCTTCTCATCCCTCTCTTCACCACCGGCACCCACAGCTGAATCAGCAACTCCTTCTCTCCTCCCATCACCTCTTGCAGGTGCCCCATGGCGCAAGTCACCCTCTCTTTCAACCCTAATGATAACGATGATGATGATGCCTCCTCCTCTTCTTCCCACAAGAGTTGGTACATAAAGTTTTCAGGGAAATCTACCACGCCTGAGTTGTTGCTCTCTTCCATGAGCATGTGGATACGATCCTACTTTATATAATTTTTTTGCAGACAAAATTAAGAGAAATTTGATGTGAACCAAACTAAGACAATTAATAGAGAAGGCTATATGGGATGATGCAAGCAAGTGGTGTTTGATAGGCTCCTTTGTTGTTCAATTTCAGACGCCAACAACTCCCTTATATATTTGTAAAAAAAGGAAGAAATTATAATAAGAGAGTTGCCAAAATGGGATAAGTCAGAAGCTAAATTAAAACCCAATTTGCTCACAAGGTCAAACCCTTGATCCTAATAATAATTATGTGAGCCGACCTCATCACATCATCCCAATCTTACTAATCCATCTTGCTAGTTACAAGTATATATATATATATATATATCTAATAATACAGAGAAGAAACACAAAAGTTATATACATATATATATATATATATATATGTAACAGGGATAGAGAGAGAGAGAGGGAGAGAGAGAAGTATATATAGTATAATGTGTGAGCTAGAGAGATATGAAGCAACTAAGTAAGTAAGAAAGGATAATCTTTGTTTTCTTGAAGAATCAAAACAACAACTGGATCCAGAGAAGTAGATGGAGGGAATCTTTGGTTGAGAGCGTGCAGAATCTTTGGTTGTGAGAAATTAATAAACAAATGTGATAAAAATGGTTGTGATAAAAATCTAACCATATTTTATCACATTTTACTTCTTTTAGTATTCAAATCACTAATCCGAGCCTCAATCTCCGAGGGTTGGGTGGTCCAATGCAGTAAGTTTAAGTGTGCCTCTTATTGTACTATCAACACACTCGAGTCGATGTACTTTCTTTTCATTTTTTTTTTCTGGATTAAAGCTAACAAAAGCTAGGGTTTCATAATATGGTTTAAAAAATAAAATAAATAAATAGCAATCACTAATTAAGGTGAATCCATGAAAGATTCCAAAAGGGGACATGCCATGTCATAATGGAATAAGCATCCTCTTATTTTACTTCACCTGTCAAGATTCAAACAGTCTTTTTTATAACAAAAAAACACCATTCCACTTTGTACTATTTACATAAATTTTAATAAACACACACATAGAGAGAGAGAAGAGCTTTCTAAATTTTATCGAGTCACACACTTGGATAGTAGTATATAATTTTAAAAACTGTCGTCTTAACAAGACCATTTTAAAATATTTTTCGAAAGGAAAAAAGAATAACAATACCTTTTAAATGTGATCATACGGTTATTTTGCCGTTCTATATAAAAAATGAAATAGAGACTGAAGAAGAATTGTTAAAAAGGAAGCTAATGAGAGAAAGGCAGATATTGTAAGCAAGTAAATAAAATGAAAAATGAAGAGAGAGGTGACTTAGTTGTGAGAGCGTTATCAAAATTAATAGTGTGGTCAGTGGTGACTCTTAAGGATTACAGGAAGCCAAAACCTACCTTGTCATCGATCCTCCGCATCCCCCAGTTAAAAATGTTTAAACATCATCAACCCTAATCATTCATATTATTAGAAGTTGATGGGTATACCGTATACTATAAGTTAGCGGATTATTTGTTTCATGAGAAGGGACATCAACTCACTTCTTTGTAATTTTTTCATTTACTTACATTCTATGACTTTTATTTTGATTTACCAATAATGTGGTACTCTCTCTGTTACACACAATTTCATTATACATTTTTTTCACACATCTTAAAAATTCTATCTTACCCTAGCATATTAATACAACAAAGCACAAAACAGAGGGAATAATTAATGCAAAATAGCGCTTAATGAATGTCCGGCATTATTTATGTACATAAGAGTGACCTAACTCAGCTTTACCCAAGTCTTTACTGTGTTATGTTAAGTTCATTCTAATTTGGTACATAATTTAAAACGGCAAATATATCTAACTTAAGATTCTTAAAAATAGGTGCTTACCTAGTTTAGTTAATGCTTTTTGCTTACGCCATCTCAAGTGAATCTAAATGGATTTTGACTATTAGTATCACCAACTCTACTTTGATCCCGATTTTGCCAGAAATAAAACTCTCTTTTGATACCTTTCTAAGCGATTAATGCATATCTTAGAAATTGAATTTAAATGGGATTTTGTCTACGGAGAGTGAAAATTATCTCCATTTTAATCTTTCGGTGACTGAACACAAAAAAATAAATAAAAGTCTGCGAATACGAACGAATAGACCAAGTTCAATCTTTTTATTTTATTTTTATTGGCATTCTCTCGTTTACGTGCGTTGCACAAAAGCCGCAGTGTTCCCAAAGCTATTAACAACTAATTTGATTATTAATAGTTTGCATAATTAAGGGGTGAGTTGAGAGCAATAATAATGGAGCTGTCCGAATCTTTCTCCATATGACATCAGCAACTTGTCAGAATCTCACTTTTATAGTCTAACTAATGCATATTGAAATGAGTCCAAGGAACCTAAATCTACAAAACGACATATCTGATGAATGGACTACTTCTGAAGATCTATTATTTGCTTCATAAAACTCGTATCCATTAATGAACTCACCACTTATATATATATATATATATGGAATTAACCGCAATAATTTGAAATTACGTTGGGATCAGTCTTTAACAAAAGGGAAACTAATTCCAGAAAAAGATATTATAGCCGATAGCTTAAGATACTACTATACAGTTTTACAGCAAGTTTGTATATATATAATAAATTCGTTATATAACATAAAAGAAAAGGGTGCATAATTGGATGACATCAGGAAGCTCTTTTAATAGTTAAACGGAATCAGCTGAAGTCAACACCCAAATAATAATCGTCTAGAGATGTACTTTGGCTTCTCTTTGTTAATTAAACATCGATCATATTTCCAATGCTCCTCTCTTACAGACCAGAATTGTCAAAAATAGCCTTTTTAATATATAATTTTGTTGATAATTGCCAAGTTGTTGACTCCCTCTCTCTCTCCAGAAATGGGGATTATAAAATGAAGAAAAGAGTAGCAATCATCTATTTACAAGGATAAAATTAAAATACATGGACTTAGGGTTGAGTACAATAACAATGGGATCTCCAAGCCTAAGTGAACGTGCAACAGTTGTCTCAGGAGCTGAAGAAGACTTTGTGGCAGGGAATCTAATCTTTTTATCAATTGAAAGCCCCCTAACTCGTGGGAGCATCTCTCCAGCATTTAATCTTATTAAATATCAATATGATTTGTTCCACATTTCAGATAACGAAAAGAAAAGAAAAAAAAAAAAAAAAAAAGAATTCCTTTTATGAACATGGCTCAAATTGACAAGCGAGCTAAGTAAGATCGCATTATGACTAACCGTATCTACTCAACCACTGTAAGTTTGTAACAAATGCCTCTTTCATCAGCACGTGTTCTTGCCTTCTGAAAACTAATTGCAACATTATACTGATCAGTAAATAACAAGATATGATGGTTGGTTTTAGACGGCCTAAAGTTTTAAAAGTGAGTAAAGCTTCGGTCCACCAGGTCCGTAGGAGAGTCAGTCTTTCTCTAAGCAAGCTGTTTTCTGGCCTGGCCTATACGGAAAGATCATCCAACTACGAGAGAAACATCTTGACAGAAGGTCGAAAATCCCCACCACTCTCCCTGAAAGTAGCTGAACTCAAAGCAGAAAGAAGAATTTTAATGGAGATTTAGCCTGTGGAAGCTTTTAATTTAGGACCGTTGCTATTGCACAGATCACAAACAAGTAGGCGATAAAAAGCCACTTACACTGCCCATTACTTTATTATTATTATGTCTCCCTTCCTTTTTCTTTTACTCATTGGATGTAGATTTTAGGCTATTCACAGACCTTCCAAGCACGTTTAAAGACGCTACACGCTGCATCTCCATCGCTGCACCACACAAACTGTTTATTAACAAAAAACTTGTGATTCAGATGGTTCCTAGCTCTGTTACACGTTACATTTACAAGCCTAAAATTCTGGATCAGAAGTAGAAGCCCGGGGGTCCGGTTGCAACAATAAAGAATAACTTGTCGCCCTATTACATTAGCCAAACAAGACCACGAATGCTGGTTTCAAAAATATATTTAAAAAAAAGATTTCGAATTTATATACACTATAGTTGTCGTCAGTAGAAATCATCATACAATATTGGGTAAAGAAAGAAGCATGGATCAGAAATTACTTAGCGAGCATGAGGAGGAGTACCTTCCTCGAGAGAGAATTGAATAGACCTCTTTTCCAACTCAACAGCATGCTTGCTAAGCTCGGAGGAGGATAGTGACCAAAGCACTAATTAACATATGAAGAGCATGCAGGTCAGAAGATTTAGAGTCACCCTTCATCATCATATAAGAAGAACCAAAAACCAAAAAAAAAAAACAGAGGCATCTCTTTGTTTGTTTGTTTTTAAGGGTGGTGGGGGCATACTCTGTAGATGATCCGTCTGATCAGATTCATTGAGCTTGTTTAGAAGCAATTGAAGATGATGGTAACGCTCTTCCCAGTCTAAGCAATGGGTGGTGGTCGGTGCACGAGGCCGAGGGGAAGATTCAGAATCAGCAGCAGGAGAGGATGATGATGAGGTTGGTTCCTTAGGCTTATTTGTGCCACTCTCAACCTCGACTCTTCTGCGTACATATACAAGTCGCCCGCTTGCTGCAGCATTACTGGCTGGAGACTGACATGTTTGAGGTTTCTTATCCCCAGATTCCGCCTTTGAATCTTTTGGTCCACTCTTGCCTGCGTCCATTCTTTCAATCACCACCGATTGATTCCTGCGCACCCAAAACACACAAGTCTAGGTCTTTTTTGGGGGATGGAGGAATCTAATCTCGGACGACACCCCCCCACAGGGAAGAGCACAGCTCATTTGCCGATGCGTTTTCCTAAAACTAGCTCAAGCAATTATGGGCTCGACGGCCCGCCCATCAATGTTGATCCATGGGCCGCCCATCAATGTTGATCCATGGGCTCGATTGCATTTTCTTGTTCTTGATGATTTTTAAGGTTCAGAAAAACCAGCAGACTACTTAACACAGGGAGGGAGGGAGGGGGGATGATCATCCTATTTAAGTACTAGTATTTATTCTGTCGCCGTCTCTTGATTCCTACTGTATACAACTCAAAACAAACCCAATAAAAAAAAAATATCTTTTTTTGTCTTTTCGATCGTGTGTGTGCTTCATCAATCTCTTCATTCATCGATGTTGATGTTGCAGCGACGGAGATAGGGGTTATCGTACTCAACGTACTTGGACCAGTAGGCTTTGTACTTGGCGAATGCCAAACCGAGCCATGGCTTGTAGTTCCCATTGTAATGCACAACCGCTGCATTCTCTATAGCTGTCTGGTTGAGCGCTGGGTCATAGCCTAGCCCCAGCACGTGCCAGCTCCGCTCCATTGCATATGTCAGGTTGTAAAATGTGATCAGCCCCGGTGGCAACGAACCCAGCTTCCACAGCGTTCTTTCCTCATTCTGTATCCACCACACCCACATTATTATTATTATTATTATTATTATTATTATTATTATTATTATTATTATTATTATTATTATTATTCTTACTATTATTATAGAGTGAGCATATGTCATTTATCCCAACAAGAAAGTTATCATGTCTCTCTTTTAAAAAAACTCAATGCCTTACCATGTCTTGCCAGTAATGATATATCCCTGTGATGTTCCGTTTCCTCCACTCTTTCAGGTCAAACATATTCATCCCAAATGCCCACCCGCATGCCCCCGCATCGAAATTCTCTGAGATCTTTGGATTTGAGAAGTTGAGATACTTGTCAAATCTGTGGAAGCTCTCCTTGCACGTCTCCACCGCACCATTCACTTTTCCTTGCATGTCTACCTCCCATAGAGGTGCCAGGTCCTTTTGCACCACGATGTCATCGTCAAGAAAGAGTATCTTGTCCAGCTTCGGATACACCTCTGGAAGGTAGAATCTGAGATGATTCAGCATCGATAGATATTTTGGGTTTCGGTACTTCAGATTGTCCGCTCCGGCAGAGATTGATGAAGGATGGTTTGCTTTGAAGTAGTATTCTTTGAGCCTTGCGGATTCAAGCTGCCGTAGAACAGAGCAGTAAGAGGAGTTTAGCCACTTAAAATCATTTATGTTCTCAACTTGAATTGTCGCATCAGCGGGAGCATTGATCCGAAACCACATCTTCATTGCAGCGAAATTCAATTTGTCAGTTACTATATGGAACACATGCTTCCCCGGCTCCTTTGCATTCAAGACACTGGAGTTGACCACAACTGATGTAGCCAGAACGTTATCCGAAAATATCGCATAGTGATAGAGAGAAGGATCTTCAAACTTCATTCGACTGGCATCCTTTTCGACTGCATCCTCTTCATTGAAACCGAGAAGAAAATAGTCTGCCGCTAGCTGCAGACTCAGGCAATGCAATGGCTTGGGAAATGTTTTGGCGGCCAGCTGAATTAAGAAGGTGCCCTTTTTCTTCAGTCCATCTACATGGCGTTCAGTGGATTGAAGCATGGCTCGGAACTTCTTTGCCAGTTCATGGCAGTCATATAACTCGTCTTTTGCAAGAGAGAGAGCATGGCCCATGGCTTTTGCTTGATCAAGCGCTCTAACCATGGAAAAAACATAGAAAACAATTCAACAAAGATTGCTGTCTCACTAATCCACACTGACACTAGGAATGTAAAACAATACCGTGAAGGAAGGTCAGCATCAGAGGTTGCTTTTCCTATAACACGTTGATTTTCTCCACACTGCTGCATCAAGAAAACGTAAAGACTAGTTGCATTTTTTGTTTTGGCAATATTTGCATATGCTTTTGCCATTATGATCTGGTCTCTCATAAGCTTCAAGATCGCATCAGCGTTTGGCCTCTCATAGTCTCTCCTCCATATACTGTATTTTTCGATGACTGAGTTTTCAAAGCTCATTGACTTCTCAATGGCTGCTTCTTGCATCTGCTCATCAGTTTCCTTATCTTGTTGGATCAGCTCCAGAGTTCGTTGAACTCTCCTTTCCTGACGTAAACTCTGCAAGGGTATACAATTGTTACTGTCCTAGTGAAATATACTCAACGGATACAGAGATGCAAGACGAAGGGTATTTGACAGATCACCTGACGCTTGAGTTTCGCTGGGTTTGTAAATTCCACGCGTGGAAACTGATTCTCGCTTTCCGCAGACTGATTAGTTGTAGAATGACTTGCACTTTCTTCCATTCTAGTATCATTTTGAAATGAATCCCGCGGTATCACTAGCTAGTTCCATAAGAAAATGTCAGCAACCGGAGTACAGAGATATGAGCAAGCTTAAAGAAAATAATCCAAGAAACTGAAAAGAAACTTCTAAGATTTTCCTAGCTTCTGCAAGGAATCTCATAAGCAGATCACCACGTGGTTAGAACAAATGATGTTCACGAAAGGTATTCATTGCGCTGCCCGTGAGAGTGCTAACTGCTAAGTAATCACTTGACACACTATAAGTAGTCTCCTCTAGTGCCATGTCCATGGGATCGAAGGTTTTATTCTTAATCTGATTATTTAACCAAAAACAAGTCTTTAACTGACATTAAAAGTTGGCACCTGGGAACCTTGTTTCTTGCCGCTAACTTGATTGGCAGGATTCTCCAAAACCCAAGAAGATGAAAGATCCCCCATTTTCACACTACCAAGCCGTATATTGCCATAATGGTCACTGTATGTCGCAACTATGTTCACATCCTGAGATAATAAATTTATTTATTACAAGTAGGAAGCATACAATTATATTCAGAGAAAGAAGAGTAAGAGGCCACAGCCTTACTTTCAGAGATGGATCGTAGTTCACTGCAGCAACTGAGGAAGCAGACACCTCCTGAAGGAATTAGTTGATAACCAAAAGTTAATCACAAGCTACAGATCAGCCCCCAAAGATTTAGCAAAAGTCTCTGCGGAGTTGGAAGTGAACTAAGTTATTGGGGGGAACAAGAATGAGACCTCTAGATTAATACATCCATGACAATCTTGCAGTGGACGATAAGCTTTCAGTTCTCTGTGGCTGCACAAGGAAGCATCATGGCAAGAATAAGACAGAGTATCACCAACAAATAGAAAGGGAAACAAAAAACACGGGGTAGCCAAAAGAAGAGCTTCCAGGTGAGAGGCAGAGATATATATATATCATTACGGTGCTTGTGACTCTAAAATGGCTCCACCAACATGAACAGCATGTAGCACCTCCTGCAATGCGTCGAAAAACAAAATTTCAAAACATCTAAGACGGAGAAAGAAAAACCCATTCGCAAGGACCACAAATTTGATGAGATCATCCCGAAATTCCATAATCATGTGCAACGAGAGCAATCCAGCTAGAGCAAACGTAGCGGGAGAGAGAGAGAAGTAGGTACCAGCCATAAGAAGGCGTGAAATAGAGAGACGGAGCGTCTCGACAACATCATTACATCTGGATCTGATATCACCACATCGCCGGCGACTGTGAAAAAATCGCAGCTTTCTTAAAGCAGTCGAGCGGTTTTTGAAACGTGCACGTGCTGCCGTTTCGTGGTGAAAAGAACCACACGCATTTCTTTAGTAGAAAGAGGAGAACACAGAAAAGACGAGACTTTTTTTTTTCTTCCCCTAGAGTTTTAGAAGAGAGAGAGGGGATCGGAGGAGTAGAGAGGTATAGAGAGAAGAGAGGAGAGGAGAATGTGCATAGCAGTGTTTTTGTGGCAATCGCATCCGCTTTACCCTCTTCTTCTCTTTCTGAATAGAGATGAAGATCACAACAGGTGATTGATTGAATCCCCTCTTCTCAAAATCGTGTCCTTCTGATAAGATTAAAAAAAGTAAACATTTTTGTGTAAATTGCTCAAGGGCGACGGAGGCGCTGCGTTGGTGGGAAGACGGAGAGACGGTGGGAGGAAGAGACTTGGTGGGCGGCGGGACGTGGCTGGGGTGCACGAGGCATGGCCGTCTCGCTTTCCTCACCAATTTCAAGGAGACCACTTCCTTCCCGGATGCGAAATCCCGTGGAGATCTCCCTATTCGTTTCTTGCAGAGCCTAAAGAGCCCGGCCGACTTTGCCGAGGAGATACAAGACGAGGTTGCTCTGTACAACGGCTTCAACCTGGTCGTCGCTCATGTCTTGTCCAAATCCATGGTTTACATTACCAACCGGCCACGCCACGGTGACAAGCTCGTTACGCATGTTTCTCCGGGGATCCATGTCCTTTCCAATGCCAACCTCGACTCTCCTTGGCCCAAGGTACCGTGATTTGTGCCGTTACACTCTGATTTTTCGACGACTTTGCACCCTCCCTCCCTCCCCACCAATTGTTGCCTTTTCTCTCCAGTGTATGAGGCTGAGAGAGAGCTTTAAACAGCTTCTCTCTGAAAACGAGGGTGGTGAATTCCCGGTGAAGACGATGGTGGAGGAGGTGATGACTGACACTGTCAAGGACCAAGAACCCGAGCTGCCTCACGTTTACACCCCAGAGACTGAATACCATCTCAGCTCAATCTTCGTCCACATGCTTAGACCAGCTGTAACACCTTTCCTTTTGTATATATTTTTGTTAAGTCTTTCTAGGAATATCCAGTCTCACTCATGGCACGATACAGGGGCCTTATGGAACCAGAAGCATCTCGGCGCTCACCATCAAGTCCCATGGTGAGGTCTGTTTCTACGAGCGGCATCTTGAAGAAGGTGGTGCCTGGAAGGAACACACCCAACACTTTGTAATACAAAACCAAAGCATAATTTGAACCTGATTCACAGGGTTCCTTTGCTTCACATATATATATGTACATGTTGTACACAAAACAGAGCTCATGTGTTTTTATTCCAAGTTCCAAAACAATCACAATACAAATACAATCATTAATCGGATACTCTTAAACCACAATCCCACACATAAATATAATGGCACACTTCACAGGTATTGGACACAAGGGGAAAAACCTCTCCACTTGTCAGGGGACATAGACGACGCTTACACTTTGACAGAGAAGATCTCACTCAGGGAACTCCACGTTCCCGACACAGCAAGAACCACGCCCAGTCCCACTATCGCTGTGTCCAAACTCCATTGTTTCCACCCCATGTCTTCCTTGAACACCAGCAAATGAAACAAAGCAGGTAGCACAAACCCTAAGATGCAGCAAGTGCTGCTGCCCACCAAGGACAAGAAATCTGTAAAGTTTGGCACAAAGAGAGCCACCAGAGTCACTGCCAAGACGAGCAGCCATCTCAGCCACGCAGAGTACATCCCACGCGAGAAGCGCCTCTCCACTATCTCAAACACCGGATTCATCATCAAGGGGAAGGTGAAGAAGAGGTTGATGCAGAGTCCAAGCTGAACAATAGTGCTGATAAGTCCTGCCCCCAAGTTTGCCGTGATTATGTCCATGGTGTCTTCACCAAAAGCCAAGTAGCCTAAGAAACCAAATGCTATGTATATCAAAGAGATGAATCCCATGCCGAGTGCCAAGACTTTGCCAAACTTGTCCTTGTCTTTCATCTCCGATTCAAGAGGCAAGACCATTCCAACCCCTTCGAAGGAGTAAACGGCCACGCCCATCCCATAGAAGAAGAGGGACATACCACCAAAGGCAACAACGTCAGGCCTTTGCTTGAGTATAATCATTGAATCCTCCACAATGACCACAGCCATGGCGCCAAGATCAACAATGTCGGCGAAGATGCTGAGAGGAGCCAAGTGGGTGAGGGTCTTAATGGAATTCAAACCCAGCTGGAAGGGAAAGCAACCCCATATGTAGAGGCTCTTAGAGGAGACACCAAAGAATTCAGAGCCCAGCCTTGTAAACTGATGCCTCAGACTCGTGGGAGATTCAGGGTCGAAAAGATTAGCTAAAGTAGTGCCGATGAAGATTAGATATCCGACGCAAAACCCAGCTTGAGACATAATGATAAAGATGTCAACGACGACCCTGCCGAGGGAGCCGCAGACGGCAAATCCAAGGTCCCCAAAGGAGCCGATCTTGGAACTGGAGAAACCGCCATTCAAAGAGTCGAGCTTGCGGCGGGTATGAACGAGGAGCATCATGCAGTGATGGGTCAAAACGGAGACGGAGACGAGAAGGAGCACACCCATGAGCCATCCGGTCCGCTTGAAGGCGTAAGGAAGGCCTAGAACCCCAGCGCCCACGACTGCTATGAAGACATTGGCGAAGGTCTTGAACTGGCTCGAAAGCGGAGGTCCCTTGCCTAGAAGAGGCGTGTCCTCCCTAGCCGGCGGTATTTTAATGGTATAAGACGAGGAGCTAGCAGCTTCCTTGTCAAAACCCATCTGATTGGAAATCTAAGAGGGAGGTTAACGGAATCGTCGCGGCAGAAAAGAAGCAGAAAGCTTTTTGATTTTGTCGCCGAAGGGATTAATCTGAAAATCAGAGAAGATTTAGCAAAGATGAGATGGAGGACAGAAAGGTAGAAGAAGACGAGTCGAAGATAATTGCGTGTAGTTGGTGGAGTCTTTTCATTTGTCGTTGTGTTTAATAAGAACGAACAGAACATGTCTCTCTCTCTATTTACGGATTCGGAAGGGTCAAAGGAGCCATCATCTCCCAAAACGACGCCATTTCCGGACAACGACACCGTTTCGATGGTTTCAAACGGCATCGTTTCGATTTAACAGAAACTACAGTAGTAGCTCCCGGCGGCATTGGCAGCAACCAGAACCGCATCGTCGCCACCCCGTGCAACCTCCCTCGTTGGTTGGTTTATATATGATTGATTGATTCTCCTCTGTCTCTCTCCGATTCGTAAGAGACATGGCAAGGATTTCTTTTGACTTCAGATTTCTTCTCATACCGGCAGCTTTCATGTTCATCTACCTCCAGGTGAATCGCTCAATGATTTTGTTTCGATCGCTTCTTACTCCCAAATAGATTCATCGCTATTTAAAAGTCGGCTCATTTTGATTTGATCGATGTCTTTATTGTGCTCACCCTCAATCGCAATCACTAGATGAGGCTTTTCCAGACGCAATCACATTATGCAGATCGCCTCGGCTCCGCTGTAAGTCCATATACAACCAACCAGTGCTTCTGTTACTTCCAGTTCTCTGATTTGGTTATGTCTCTACTATGTATGATGGAGAGCACTTGTTAATATGTCTCTGCAGATCGAATCAGAGAACCATTGTACTAGTCAAATGCGAGCGCTGATAGATGAAGTAAGCATTAAACAGTCACGGATTGTGGCTCTGGAAGGTATCTATCCATCTTAGTGAATCCCATTCTTCTTTTCTTGTGAAACTTTTGAGATGACTAATAATCCATTACAAGTCTTCACTAAAACAAAGTTATTGGAATGGAGTAGAACACTTCTACATTGCTCTTTTCACCTTTCTACGGGTATCTTTCTAGATATGAGGAACCGCCAGGACCAAGAACTCGTGCAGCTTAAGGATCTCATCCAGACGTTTGGAAGTGCGTTGCTATCAACTGTAAAATTATTTTTCTTGCTATCTATCCTAAGAATTTTGGTAGTAATGCTTTTTTTTTTTGTTCTCTCAGGAAAAGGATTAGCAAAACTCGTTGAAGGTGGACAGGTCTGGATAAGTAGATGATTTTCTTCTTATTTGTATGTCCTTCAATGCTATCACTTTCTCTAACCTCTTTTCTTATTGGATTTAGCAGACCCCTCTGGCTGCTGTAGTGATTATGGCGTGCAGTCGTGCAGACTATCTTGAAAGGACAGTAGAATCTGTTTTAAAGTGAGATATTTAACTGTCTTAATTCTTATAGGAAAATCATTATTCAGCTGTCTAACAACTTAACCTTTTCTACAGGTATCAAAGTCCCGTTGCTTCAAAATATCCTCTATTTATCTCTCAGGTACTTAACACAGGCTTTCTGTCTTGCGTGGAATGACAGGGTGGTGGCCTCTTTACTCAGTCTTATATTCAAAATCATTACTAACCATGGTCTTAGCGAACAACATAATTTCTGACAGGATGGATCTAATCAAGCCGTCAAGAGCAAGGCGTTGAGCTATAATCAACTAACGTATATGCAGGTATTAAAAATCTACTGTGATGTTTCTCTTTACTGTTCTAGTAATTTGCTCATGTAGATACGTGAGATGAAGGCTCTTTTCCCCTTTTTAGCACTTGGATTTTGAACCAGTGGTCACTGAAAGGCCTGGGGAACTGATTGCGTACTACAAAATTGCACGTAAGGACTGGTTTCTCCTTTCTCTGCGTCCCTCCAACTCCATGACTGATATATATTTTTACACAGGTCACTACAAGTGGGCACTGGACCAGTTGTTTTACAAATACAAATTTAACCGAGTTATTATACTAGAAGGTGAGGCTTCTTACTCATTCACCCTCACTGTACATTTCGGTTGTGCGTGTGTGCAGTATTGCTTAAGGGGTTGTCTGTCTTTTTAACAGATGATATGGAAATTGCTCCAGACTTCTTTGATTACTTTGAGGCTGCAGCTAGTCTCATGGATAGGGATAGGTATGTTACCTACTGAAGCTAGGCTCTTACATGAATTTTAGTTCCCACAGAGTATACGCGTGTTTTTTTTTACTGTTTCTCATTCAATTCTGTGTGCAAACATGTGTTAGAACCATCATGGCTGCTTCATCATGGAATGATAATGGGCAGAAGCAGTTTGTGCATGATCCCTGTAAGCTTCTTCTTCTCTATGTTTACCCCGCTTCCTCTCTTTTCCTTTTTTTCCAATACCTCATTATGTCCTGCTAATGCTAGCTAAATACTCTGCAGATGCACTTTACCGATCAGATTTTTTTCCTGGCCTTGGGTGGATGCTGAAGAGAACGACTTGGGATGAGCTATCACCAAAGTGGCCAAAGGCATATCCTTATATCCGTTTTTTTTATCTCGATGACTATACTTAGACACATCCAAGAGTTTCCTTGACAAATTTACACTTACTGGGATGATTGGCTGAGATTGAAGGAAAACCATAAAGGCCGCCAATTTGTTAGACCAGAAGTCTGCAGAACATACAATTTTGGTGAACATGTTGGTACCGGACTGTGTACTAGTCGATTCTTTTGATTTCTATTAGACATGCCTCTGCTCACTGTATATGTGACTTTTGATTTCTGTTTGAAGAATGTATTATTGCAGCTTTGTCAGTCAAGACGAGATAATTGTATCTGCGTTTCCCCCGTATTCATATTACCTTGTCAATTTTATTTTGCAGGGGTCTAGTTTGGGACAGTTTTTCAGTCAGTATCTGGAACCTATAAAGCTAAATGATGTGAAGGTAAGCGCCAGTGTATATTCTTTACCCCCTTTTGTAGCATTACTACATTTTCACTGGTTTTCTAATTTCGTTCTTAAAGGTTGACTGGAAAGCGATTGACCTGGGTTACCTGACAGAGGTAATATTTATCCTTTCGTATCCTTTCACCTGTTTTGAGTGGATAATTCAGTTTTTTTTTGTCTTTTTTTTTTACTTGTTCTCTCATGTCTACAAAGGGAAACTATACCGAGTACTTTTCTGACTTAGTGAGACAAGCACAACCAATTCAAGGTTCTGACCTTGTCTTAAAGGCTAAAAACATAAAGGGCGATGTTCGTATCCGGTATAAAGACCAAGCAGAGTTTGAACGCATTGCAGGGGAGTTTGGTATATTTGAAGAATGGAAGGTAAATTTCAGAAGATAGAACTATATAATCTTCAATGATTGTAGGTCCAGAAGTGTCATATTTGTGTACCGCATTCATTGTATAGGATGGTGTGCCCCGAACAGCATATAGAGGAGTAGTGGTGTTCCGAATCCAGACTACAAGACGTGTTTTCCTGGTTGGCCCAGATTCTGTAGTGCAGCTTGGAATTCGAAAATCCTGATGCAAAACATGTGCTTCTCCAACCCTTGGCATCTTTCACATCCCTACCCATTTCTCATTGTTGTCTGCTAACAGGGTTTCACACGCAGATGAAAGCAAAAGAACTGCAGGCAGCCTTCTTCTAGCAGCTGTTAGCACTTTTGGTTGCATTATTCAAGGATGAGTTTGTCGATGGGGTTTTAACAGCTAGAAAGCTCTGGTGACATATCTCAAAGGTTTTAAAGTTACGGGAAACCCTTTAAAGGGTCAGGGAGGCTTAAACACATTTCAGTCGTCTCATAGCTGATTGTTTTGTTGGTATGTTAGATGAATGCAAATTATGCTATATAGTCTTTCTTGGATTCTATATTGCTTACGAGATACGTGTATAAAGTGATCCATGTTGCCGCCAAATTCTTATTCCTTTACGACCAAACTAATGCGTGTTTGCTTCAAAGAAGGAATATTTATGATTTCACTCCCACTTTCTTCTTTAGCGAGGGCCAACGAAGGCATCCAACCCATCTTCTCTATCACATCATAATCGCATTTCTCTCCCTCACCGGTATATACCCCGAGGCCAAGGGCTCAGGTCGGCCGTGAAAAATCTGTTCCATGAGAGGTGTATTGGGTGATAGAATCTTGATTCGTCTCATGTGATACGCACTGAATGCCCAACAGATGTGAATTTGATGAACACTACTGGACTTATATACAACAATGAAAGCAGGCCTAGGAAGAGCCCTTGTAGAGGAAACAGAGTCCAGTGCATTTTTAGATTATTCTAATAAAAGAGACTATTTTATAGATCTGTTGATGACTATTAATCAAAGGTCTCCTCTTTTGTTATTTTTAGTCAGGATGCGGAGACGTTGGCGAGCATATTGCAAAACCATGTTCAACAAAGAATACAATTCTTCATCATCGGATCTGCACCAATCTGACTGAATTTGATTCCATCCTATCATCTTTGCCTGCCTGGTAATTTACACATCCATCTCTTCCTCTAATTCTCTGTTTGATGTACTTCGACCATTGCGGTTTTTCTCTGGGACATTATTGGGTTGGGGTCTTTAGAGACATGTGGCTGCCCGTTTCGGCCTTGATGCTAAATGTGTATCCCATGTTTCAGATTGCTCTGTTTTCCTCTGATGACAAACTGATTCGGAAGGGGAGGTGAACTTAAGTTGGTAAGTAATTGGATTATGATTGTTTGATGGGTAATACATGCCGTGTTTCACTTACCATTCTTCTAATACATCTGGTCTTTCCGCGGTTTGTTTCAGCACACCAACTGGCAAAAGAGGCGCCCAGAAAGAAGCAACAATGAAGCACAACGGTGGGAACCAAGCCTGCTTCGTTCTTGGTCAAAAGACCCCAAGCATCCGAGATCTCTACTCGTTAGGACACAAACTAGGTCAAGGACAGTTTGGCACCACTTACATGTGCAGAGAGATCTCAACAGGGCGTGAATACGCGTGCAAGTCTATAACAAAGAGGAAGTTGATTTCAAAGGAAGATGTGGAAGACGTGCGCAGGGAAATTCAGATCATGCATCATCTGGCTGGTTACAAGAACATTGTCGCCATTAAAGGCGCTTACGAGGATCCATTGTATGTTCACATCGTGATGGAGCTCTGCACAGGTGGGGAACTTTTTGATAGAATTATCCAGAGAGGGCATTACAGCGAGAGAAAAGCAGCTGAGCTCATAAAAATCATTGTTGGTGTTGTTGAGGCTTGCCATTCGCTTGGTGTCATGCATAGAGATCTAAAGCCCGAAAATTTCTTGTTGGTGAATAAGGACGACGACTTCTCGCTCAAAGCCATTGATTTTGGGCTATCCGTGTTCTTCAAACCAGGTGAAAACATCTGCTGCATCTTTTGCAACATCTTTCTGTCGTACCATTTCAAGCTTGCTAAAACTCGCCTACATCAACTGCAACTTTCAGGTCAAATATTCGAGGATGTGGTTGGAAGTCCGTATTATGTTGCTCCTGAGGTTCTACTCAAGCACTATGGACCAGAGGCTGATGTGTGGACCGCAGGGGTCATACTGTACATATTGGTGAGCGGAGTCCCTCCGTTTTGGGCAGGTATGCAACCAAAATGAAATAACTATTATAAGGCTTCCAAGGTAAAACATTCTTAAAATTTTTTCTTTGCTTCAACTCCAGAAACACAGCAAGGGATATTTGATGCAGTGCTGAAGGGACATATTGACTTTGAATCTGACCCTTGGCCCCTAATATCTGACTCTGCAAAAGACTTGATCCGTGGCATGCTATGTTCCAGGCCCTCTGAGCGACTGACGGCTCATCAAGTTTTGCGTAAGTCTAACCAGTTTGTTTTTGTTTCAGGTCCCATATATGCATCTGCTTGCTTACTTACAAACTTGCAGGCCATCCTTGGATCTGTGAAAATGGAGTGGCGCCAGACAGAGCACTAGATCCTGCGGTGCTTTCTCGTCTTAAGCAGTTCTCTGCGATGAATAAACTAAAGCAGATGGCTTTAAGAGTAAGCACACGGATGCAAGCTTTTTTCGTTTATCATACATTCCATAAATGTCAACTGCTCTGCTGTGGTTCAGGTAATAGCTGAGAGTCTCTCTGAAGAAGAAATTGCTGGACTAAAGGAAATGTTCAAAGCAATGGACACGGATAACAGTGGAGCGATTACTTTTGACGAGCTAAAAGCTGGGTTGCGAAGATATGGTTCTACCCTCAAAGATACTGAGATTCGTGACCTTATGGAGGCTGTAAGCACGCTGCTCTGATCTGATCCGTGTATCTGCTCGAAATTAGTATGCTACGCATTAACCTGTGTGAAACTGTGATTTACCAGGCAGATATTGACAAGAGTGGCACCGTAGATTATGGTGAATTCATAGCTGCAACAATCCATCTGAACAAATTAGAGCGCGAGGAACATCTCCTCTCAGCCTTCAGGTACTTTGACAAAGATGGGAGCGGTTATATCACGATCGACGAGCTACAGCAAGCGTGTGCTGAACAGGGGATGAGTGATGTCTTCCTTGAAGATGTGATCAAGGAAGTCGACCAAGACAATGTGAGAGAGCCTGCACTTATGCATACATATCCTCTGACTTGGGAATTATATGGTGGTAAAAGGCCAGGGATCATTTTCTTCTTCTTCTTTCAGGATGGGAGGATTGATTACGGAGAGTTTGTAGCGATGATGCAGAAGGGCATTGCAGGAAGAACAATGAGGAAAAGCATAAACATGAGCCTCAGGAACAATGTCATCTCTTAGTAATGTACAGGTTATGTCTTTCACAGTTTCCTGTCATCTGACGTCTTTTCTAGGTAAATTCCATCGAAAGTCTTTCCCAAACTGACAGTCTACACCCGTGTGCGCGAATCCTCCCATGTTGATAGAGGTGAGTCATGAGATGCAAAAGCTACAAAGCTCCATAGAAATATGGTTTACATGGTCTGGATCCTTCCCAGTAAACATTGAATCGACAAAGGCTCTGCACTCTAAAATGTACTGATGTGTATTAACAGATAAACTGAACCAACATGATATAGGGAGTCTTATGAGATTATTGTAATTTGACTTATATGCACACATCCTATAAAGAAAACTATAAGAATGATTACTGTGGAGTTTTAGTTGATGACTATACATTTGATAGAGCAGTCTCTCTTCCCATTGTTACCTCCTGCGCAAATTAAAAGAGATATCATAACTTGACAAGGACAGAGGAGAAGAGTAGCTGTCAACAAAGATGATTACTGATACCTTTAGCTTAGAATCGCTTGAGAAGACACAGGAAGAAGTGACAGCATGGCCTGGCTCAAATAACCATCCTACTGAAAATACTCTTTCGCCGTCTTTGCTTTCTTGGAGTGAGCACCACAGCTGTTGCGGAAGCAACAAAAGATCCTTTTCTTCTCGCACAATCTCAATCACCTTCTCGCCAGTAACTTGCTGAATGCAACCCTGAAGATGCTCAAAAAATAAAAATATACCACCTTAGATTTAGTAAGGGAATGGATATACATACATATTTGAAACAAACAGGTTTGGGCAACTCACGGAATCAGGGGCGTGAAAGCTAGTAGAAGCAAGTAGAACTCTCCAAGAACCAGCTACCACTGAAGCCGCTGTGGAAGGTGTAGAAGCAAACCCGGAGCTACGGATGGCACACCCTCCGAGCTGATCGCCATCTCTGAACGGGCCGTACCACTGCTCACAGAAAACTTTGACACTCTGGAGCAACATTTTGGTCTCTGCTAAGCGGACAGCCTGAAAAATCCTCACACGAGACTCCTTGTCGTTTGGACTGATGAGGCAATGCTCCACCTCTAGGCGGTTGTTCCCCAGAGGCCACACCGCGACATAGGAGCCGGAGACAGAATAAGAAAATGCTAATGCAGAAGATTTGCTAGCCCCGGTGCTCCTCTGGTCGATGCTGTAACGGGTGGCTGCATCAGCTTCACATCCCACGGTGGGGAGGAGTTTGATGGACTTGTAAAGAAAGGTCTGTGCGTCGGGCTGGGCAAGAGTGGGACACTGCGTCTGCCAATCGAACACCTTCACTTCCCATTCTCTATAGGCTTCTGGAACCACCGATTCAGGTAGTTCCAGCGGTTTCCCTTCGCGCGAGAAATCTGCTCCGAAACCGTCCCATTCGCCAGACACATTTTGAGCGAACTCCGACCAGGCTAGAATAGAAGCCATTGCACAGAGACAGAGACACAGTTTAAACCAGAAATCCTGAATTCGCTATTACAGGATCATTCAGAATTGTGAGAGAGAGATAGATAGATAGAGCTTACGATCGAATTCAGTAGCAGGCTGGCTCTGCGCCAAGGCAATATCAGAGGAGGTTTCAGCTGAACAAGAAAGAGGAGAAATTTTGGTTCTATGAATAAACGCTAAACTGGAAGAGAAAGGAAAGGAGAGAGCTTTGAAGGAAGGCAGAGGTGGAGGTGCAGGTGTACGGTACCGCCATAAGAGGGAGCTCCCGGTTCCGGAGGAGGATAACATCGGAGCACAGCGAAAATTGATCTCAAAAAGAAAGAGAGATAGATAAGGATTTAAAGGCATCTCGTATTGGGCTCAAACTTGGATCGGTTTTCTCATACCAGTGAGCCCATTTTGTATTCCATCAACGATCTTTCGCATCTTGGTGGTAACAAAGAATTTCTTTCTAGCTTTTTCCACGGCCGGTTGAGAAAACACAAAATGAATATAGTCGATGAGCAATTTGCAAACTGTTTGTCTTATTCACCACAGCATGATGGGTTCAGATCTTATTGATTGTACACGTTTGTTACATCAAGACTTGAAGCTCAAAGGTTGTATCATGCAACAAAAAAGTGTTATTATTACAACTCATCTCGTGAGCCAATCTTGCTTTCAAATGATGCATAAGCTTTGATGATTGAAACATACACGTTGATGCCCTTCAAGTACTCAGCTTTACCCAGATACTGCAAGAAAGCAATGCGTTAGGAAATGAATAAATGATGATCCACCAAAACACAAAAGAATCATCAATTCACTTATATGCAAACCTCATTGTGGTCATGAAGCAAACTCGGGGTGTTTGATATGGGAGAGAAGCCAAAGGCGGGCACGCCAGCCTTGCGAAAGTAGCGAGCATCAGTTGATGCAGGGAAAATCTCAGGCTTACTAGTCCTACCTCCTGCTTCCTTAACAGCAGTTTCCAAGAGCCTCCACCACGGGTTTGAATCATCTGCTGCTGTAAGGAGTGGCTCCCCGGAAAGCTTCTGCTTGAACTGCCCAAGCTTAAACATCTCAAAATGAGTTAAAGTTGTCGAAAAGAGACATCCGACAGACACTGGTGTGGGGTGGCTTGAAAGATTTCTATTACCTCAAAGGACATGTTGCGCGCTGCGGGTGCCCATTCCTCCACCAAACGTCTCTCAAGTGCTTCGGAATCAACATTGGGTGGGACACGAATGTCGAAACCAGCTTCTGCCTCAGATGGTTGCAGATTCATCACGAAACCCTTGAGAGAGAGATAGAGAGAGACACGATGATAAAGAGCCAATTTTTGTGTCATTAAACAAACAAAAAGAGGAAAACTTTCAATCAAGACAATATTACAGTTGGAGAAGGTGTGCCAGCCTTGAGGAAGACCATGTTAACGGAGACAACATCGCCTTCAGCAGTGCCACCAGCTTTGAGCAGGTCAAACTGGGAAGCTCTGAATCTACGGATACTCTCGATGCTTTTGAGCAGATTCTCCATGGCAGAGTTGTCATAGAGCTTGGCACCGTGGCCAGGCGGTCCTTTAGCCTTGATCACCAGCCACCAGGGACTCCTCTCTCCATAGAATACTCTGTAACTCTCAGCAGGCGATGGCAGACCTGACGAGGAGAAAGAAACTTACTTTGTTTACTGCTTGCTTACTTTTTGATTGAACTAGAAAAAAAAAATCGAATTGGCGTACCTTCGTCGAGCACGATTGCGATGTCCAAGGACTTGAAGACCTGGGATTGGACGAACATCTCAGCGCCGTCGTGGCCGCCGATCTCTTCGTCGGGGACGAAAGAGAGATAGACGGAACGGAGAGGGCGGAAGGCAGAAGCCTGGAGCTTGCGAATGGCCTCGAGGTACTGCATCCCGACGCACTTCATGTCCTGGGAACCCCTGGCATAGATGTCGCCGCGGTGGTCGACGTGAGCGTGGAGAGGGTGGTGGGTCCACTTGGACTCCTCGAAGGGAACCACATCGGTGTGGGAGTTGAGGAGAAGGGCTGGTAGGGTTGGGTCGGAGCCAACCCATTTGAGGAGGAGGAGAGGCTTTCCCTTGACGAGCTCGATCGTCTGAGATTCCAGGGAGAGGGATTTAGCCTGGGAGTTTATAAAGTCAACGGCTTTGTAGTAATCGGGCTTGGGCTGGACCGTGTTGATTCGGAGATACTCCTGGAATCTGGAGACGATCGCGTCGCCGTCGTCGTCGGCCACCGCAGAAAGGCATAGGTGATGATGAAGAAGAACCAGCAGAAGAACCATGGGGAAGGTGAAGAAGATTCCACTACCCATAGCGATTGGGGAGAGAGAGAGAAAGCAAACTGAATTGGATTGGATGGAGCTCCCTCTCCCTCCTCCGGGGAGTAGGACAAGATGAAATGAATGGCAGTTTGGTGAATAAAAGAAAGATCAAGGGCGAAAGAAGCAGAAGAAGATATAATAACTACACTCACTCAATTTGTTGAGAGATCTCTGCGCTACGAGAGTGATGAGATGTGATGGAGGTGAGTATGAGGAAACTGGCCTTGTGGCACACGAGAACCTTCAAGCCCGTTATGACGCACGAGGAGCTGGAACCAATCATGTCGACGATGGGCTTCGTGGGTCTTCCTCCCAACCACGCCACCGGAGGAGGCTTGATCCAAGAATACGTTTTCCTCTCTTGTCCCACCAACGACGACCATCAGCCCAGGCCCAGCCTCCCCTATCCCCTCATCGATGGCCTCCATATCAACACCTACCAGGCTTTTCTTGACGCTTTGGCCTTCTTTCTCAATGTCTCTGATCTCTTCCATGTCAGGTTATACCGATCTGATTAATACATTATAGCTACCTCTGGATGGGATGTGACTCTTTTTTCTTCTTACTTACTTACTATAATATATGTGTCCTCAGCTCAAAGTGATTTTCTCAATTTTTTGCGCAGAGGAATGCCGCTGCAGCGGGTCGAGGACAAAAACAGAACGTGGCGTCGCATGGAAGAGGATGAGAGTGTGTTTGTGTACAGAGATGGGACGCTGGAGAAGTCGAGTCGCCACCTTCTGATGAACATTAATGAAGAAGACGCAGAGACACAGACACCATTTCTCATCCACCAGAAATCGCTTCCTCACTGCACCTTACTTCCCCTAACAGACATCATAGTCTGGTTTTGATTTATTTATTTGGACATCTTCTCTAGTTCCTAATTACTAGTAACCAGTAGATGGCAGGGTTTCACTTCTCTAGCTTGTATGATCTTCACCGGTGCCGAATGAGATGGACCTGAAAAACGATCAAATTCTTTTCCTTTTTTATACTCCCTCCGTTACTATATAATGAATTTTTTTTTTAGGGTGAATTGTATCTCTGAGTGTGAAGCTGCATTAACTGTTCTCAGTCGATATCTTGGAATCCCCCACGCTTCTATATATTGCTCCTCAGCATCTAACTTTCACGAGTTGATCACTCTTGCAAATGGGTTGTGTTGACTGCATATATCCATCAATCCTATGAGGGGTGTGTTTTCATCTCAAAGACTATTTTCAGCATTTTTTATAATTTCTTTTTTTTGTGTTGCCCAACTTATTTATGTCTTTATAAAATCCTTTGGTGATATAGAGGAGAAATCCCCACTAAAGTTATCGGAGAGGTAAGATACCTCTAGACTAGTATATAGTTACCATGCTGCTCTATCAACTCTTGAGTCAGTCCTCAGATGAAGACTCTTGGTTGCTGTAAATATATACAACTTTCTATTATCTGTCAGATTTGCTTTCTCTGTACGTAAGATGAATCATGCCAGAAAATTTTTTTTTTTTTTTAAAAATGATTGCAAGGATATATTCCATGTATCATAAAGACGATGAAGGAGGAAAAAACTGTTGGAAATTCAAGTTTAAAGACATGTCCGATACAAGAGTGTTGATCCAGGAACATCTATTGTCTAAGAGATTTTAGAGATTCTTCGTGCTCATAGAAAAATAAAATAGAAACAATACAGTAAAGGGGTGGAGCAGAGCCAGTTTATATCAATCTGACATAGATAGGATGAATGTTTTGGGAGTTCAAGAGAAAAAAACAGGCGTCGAATCATATATTAGTCTAGTTTTGGTGGAAACCAGTAAGGAGCCGGGAAAGTTCTGTCTACACCCGTCGTCACGTACTCTTCATCATCCATGCAGTGTCTACCCATGTTGTGGTTGCCTAAGTGATAGACGCAGTTTGGGCGCTGGTCATATAAGCAAGCAGCCGGGAGACAAAAAGGTTCGGCCTTAGAGAGGAAAATGCAGATACCTCCAAAGTCTTTAGTATTGACAGCCTTTCCTTCCTTGTCTAGCCTCAACACATGGAAGTAGTCCCACTCCACTCTCCCCTTCAAAAGAGGGTTGCTCTCTGAGAACCATTTCACCATAAAAGTCTCGCCTGTGTGTGACGACTCCACTAAGTAGTGCTCCATCCTGCAACACGAGTCCAACAGATTCCACTCGGACTTTCTCACTACCTCGCTTCTGACAAATTCATCCAAACTCTCCACATACATTATTGACAATACAAAGGAGAAGACAACTGAAATGAAGTCTTTGACTCGGCCTTCTACCGTCGGCCCATCAAAAGGAATTCAAGCCCAAGACGAGCCCATCTCCTCTGCAACAACTCCAACGGTCACAAGAATCAAAAACAGAGTCAGAACAGGACAAAACCTAGAACTAAAGAACAAGTTTTCCCCTCTTCTCTTGGATCGTGAGCATTGACGTGACATTGCTACCTGTCTGTAGTCTAGAATCCTCTATTGTCTAGTATAAAAGCTCATGCTTGTAAAACCCTAATGATTATTCAAGAAATGAAGTTCAAAGTTTCATTCTTTTTCTCTGTTCTTGAGCAAATCTAGTCTCATTTTGTCCTTGCTTACATGGTATCAGAGCCAATGGAAGGGGCTCCATCACAGGCTAACGCCGCTTCCGCTACAGCTCACTCCGATGGCATCACTACGGTTACCTCGGTGTCTACTTCAGCCGTCACTACGGCATCTGCTCTGGTGATGTCAACGACACCACCGGTTGTTCTCCAAGCTCCTCCGCAGGTCTTTCAGACCCCTCCGCCTCCCTTTCAGGCCGCATCTGCGTCTGCATTCCCACATCAGCTTCAAGCTGGAAGCTTTACTCCGAGCTACACTCCGGCGGCCTTGTCTATCACGCAGGTTGTCACTCTTAAGCTCAATGACTCCAACTACTTGTCATGGAAGCTTCAGTTTGAACAGTTTCTACAAAGTCAGCTCCTTTTGGGGTATGTGACCGGTGCTGTTCCAAGACCTTCACCAACAGTCATGGTTCGAAATGGTGAGATGGTTTCTGAAGTGAGTAACCCAGACTTTCTCAAATGGGTTCACACAGATCAACTCATTATGGCCTGGATCTATGGATCTCTGTCTGAAGATGCTCTCAAAAGTATTTACGGCCTCCATTCTTCTCAGGAGGTGTGGTTTTCCTTGGCCAAGAAGTACAACCGAGTCTCTGCTACTAGAAAGTTGGAAATCCAGAGTAGGATTCAGACAACTGCAAAGGGAAACCGGCCCTTAGCTCAATACATTGCAGAAATAAAGTCGCTTTGTGACCAGCTTGACTCTATTGGGTCTCCAATCACTGAACATGAGAAGATCTATGGCATTTTAACTGGTCTTGGTAGAGAATATGAGTCCATAGTCACAGTCATTGAACACACAATGGACTCTCAATATGGACTTAGCTTCGAAGATGTGGTGTACAAACTCACAGGATTTGATGAGAAGCTGCAAAAGTACTCTGCAACGACTGAGGTTAATCCACATCAGGCCTTCTATACAGCTAGAGGAGGTTACAACAACAGAGGTCGAGGCTCAGCTGGCGGTGGATATCGTGGACGTGGCTCTTACTCCACCGAAGGACGCGGCTTCCCTCAACAGTTTGGTCAGGGAAGTGGCTGAGGCTCTACTCCCACTGGACAACGGCCTACATGTCAAATCTGTCACAAATATGGTCACAGTGCTGAGAGGTGCTTCAAGCGCTTTGATAAGGAATACGAAACACCATCTGAATCTCTTCCTCAAGCTATGGCTGCAATGAAGCTTTCTGGACCTCCACAACCAAATCCTGGAGCTGAGTGGTACCCGGATACTGGTGCAACCCATCATGTCACCAGTTCGGCTCACCACCTTGACACTACTCAGCCTTACACCGGTTCAGAGGGCGTTATTGTTGGTAATGGTGATTTTCTCCCTATAACTCATATTGGGTCTGTTGCTCTTCCATCTGTTTCAGGTAAATTGCCTCTTACAGATGTTCTTGTTTGCTCTGGGATTACTAAGTCTCTTCTCTCTGTCTCAAAGCTTACAGATGACTATCCCTGCAAATTTGTCTTTGATTCTCATTCTGTGTGTGTTAAGGACAAGAGCACAAATCAGCTTCTCAGTCAGGGCAACAAAGTTGAAGGGCTGTATCGGTTAGAGGAGACTTCTCCAATGGTGTATTACTCGTCATGGCAACAACAAACAAGTGACTCCGTATGGCACCAGAGGCTTGGCCATCCTCACCATCAAGTCCTGCGACATCTATCTTCTATCAAAGCTATCTCTTTCAATAAAGTCACCTCATCGATGTGTGAGTCATGCCAGTTGGGAAAGACCTGCAAACTACCTTTTTCTAAGTCTCTTTTTCATTCCAGTAGACCTCTTGAGAGGATACATTGTGATGTCTGGGGTCCTGCACCTATTGTATCAGTTCAGGGGTTCAAATATTATGTTGTATTCATCGACAATTACTCAAGGTTCTGTTGGTTCTATCCTCTTAAAATGAAATCTGATGTGTTCTCTATCTTTAAAACGTTCCAACAACTTGTCGAGAATCAATTCAATCACAAAATCAAGGTGTTTCAATGCGATGGAGGTGGAGAGTTCATAAACAAATCGTTCATTGAGCACTTTGCAGTGTGTGGTATTAAACACCATATCTCATGTCCACATACTCCTGAGCAAAATGGCCTTGCAGAAAGAAAACATAGGCATATCATGGAGTTGGGAATGTCTATGCTCTTTCAAAGCCACTTGCCACAATATCTGTGGGTTGAAGCTTTGTTCACTGCAAACTTCCTTTCAAATCTTCTTCCTACATCAGTTCATGATGATATGGTGAGCCCTTATCAAGTTCTACACGGTGAAGCACCTGTTTACACGGCTCTTCGTGTGTTTGGTTGTGCTTGTTATCCCAACCTTCGTCCTTATTCTCACAATAAGTTTGACCCCAAGTCGCTTCTCTGTGTTTTTGTTGGATACAATGAAAAGTACAAGGGCTACCGTTGTCTCCATCCACCAACCGGAAGAGTTTATATCAGTCGCCATGCCTTGTTTGATGAGTCAAGGTTTCCTTTCATGGATACTTACCAAGCCTTGATACCTGAAGCTACAACTCCTCTTCTTTCCGCTTGGAGATCAACGCGTCCTGCTTCACGCGAGACTCCGGATGACTCAGATAATTCTGTGTCCGAGGATATTGTTCCAATACAAGAAATTCAGATTGGTGATATTGCTGTACCTCTGTCTGCAACAAATGTGACACCACACAATGACCGTATCTCCTCTCCTCTGACTGTGAGATCATCTTCAGTCACCACCAGCCCATCATCCTCTGGTTCCTCTAGCTCGGAAAGATATACAACCAGTTCTTCAGGGATCTCCACTGAAGACAACAGCTCTGAGGATCCTGGAGATACCAACACCAATATGCATCCAATGCGAACTCGAGGAAAGGATGGTATACGCAAACCCAATCCTCGTTACATACTCTTTGCCGTAAAGGACATTCCTCAGGAACCAAAAAACAGTGGCTCAAGCTCTCAAACATCCAGGTTGGACTGCAGCTTGTGAAGAAGAACTCGAAACTTGTCATGAGACAGATACTTGGACTCTTGTCCCACCTCCAGCTGATGCAAACCTTCTTGGTTGTCGTTGGGTTTTTAAAACCAAATTGAATGCAGATGGTACTCTGGATAAACTCCGTGCTCGCCTGGTAGCCAAAGGCTTTGATCAAGAAGAAGGGGTTGATTTCTTGGAGACTTACAGCCCTGTTGTTCGGACTGCAACAGTTCGAATGGTTCTTCACACTGCAACAGTTGAAGGTTGGCCTCTTAAGCAACTAGATGTAAAGAATGCCTTTTTACATGGCGATTTACAAGAAACTGTGTATATGACACAGCCCCCAGGATTTGCAGATAAAGATCATCCGGATTATGTCTGTAAGTTGAACAAGGCCATTTATGGACTTAAACAGGCGCCCAGGGCATGGTTTGATAAATTTAGCACGTATTTGCTTGCCTTTGGGTTCATCTGTAGTCCATCCGATCCTTCTCTGTTTGTATACATACACAACAATCAAGTGATGCTCCTTCTTCTATATGTTGATGATATGGTCTTAACAGGAAATGATTCAAGACTGATGCAGGCCTTTATTGATTCATTAAGTGCAAAATTCAGGATGAAGGATATGGGGCCTTTAAGCTACTTCTTGGGGATTCAGGCTCAGTTTACTCCATCGGGGCTGTTTCTCAATCAAGAAAGATATGCGACTGACTTACTCATCAATGCAGGAATGCTTGACTGCTCCCCAATGCCTACTCCGCTTCCTCTACAGCTTGACAAAGTTCCTAATCAGGATGAGGAGTTCTCTGATCCGACATACTTCAGGAGTCTTGCAGGTAAACTTCAATACCTTACCTTGACAAGACCTGATGTTCAATATGCCGTGAACTTTGTCTGTCAGAAGATGCACAAACCATCGGTTTCAGACTTTACCCTTCTAAAACGAATCCTGCGATACATAAAGGGTACACTAGCAATGGGTCTTTACTTTACAGCTGAGTCTGATTACACTCTTCGAGCTTATAGCGACTCAGACTAGGCCGGTTGTCGAGACACACGAAGATCAACCGGTGGTTTCTGCACTTTCATAGGCTCCAATATCATTTCATGGTCAGCTAAAAGACAGTCTACAGTTGCTCGTTCCTCTACAGAGGCCGAGTACAGATCCTTATCAGATACAGCTGCAGAGCTTGCTTGGATTTCTAATCTACTTCGTGATGTAGGAGTTCCACAGAATGAACCAGCAGAGGTTTATTGTGATAACCTGTCTGCTGTTCAACTCACGGCAAATCCAGTGTTTCATCCCAGAACAAAACACTTTGAAACACACTTTCACTTTGCTCGGGAAAAGGTTGCTTTGGGTTCTCTGGTCATCAAACATGTTCCCTCAAGTCACCAGCTCGCCGATATTTTTACCAAGTCTCTCCCTCAAGCTGCATTCACTTCTCTTCGGTTCAAACTCGGAGTTGACTTGCCACCCACCTCGAGTTTTCAGGGGGGTATTGACAATACAGAGGAGAAGACAACTGAAATGAAGTCTTCGACTCGGCCTTCTACCGTCGGCCCATCAAAAGGAATTCAAGCCCAAGACGAGCCCATCTCCTCTGCAACAACTCCAACGGTCACAAGAATCAAAAGCAGAGTCAGAACAGGACAAAACCTAGAACTAAAGAACAAGTTTTCCCCTCTTCTCTTGGATCGTGAGCATTGACGTGGCATTGCCATCTGTCTGTAGTCTAGAATCCTCTATTGTCTAGTATAAAAGCTCATGCTTGTAAAACCCTAATGATTATTCAAGAAATGAAGTTCAAAGTTTCATTCTTTTTCTTTGTTCTTGAGCAAATCTAGTCTCATTTTGTCCTTGCTTACATACATATCCTTCACCACGCGACGTTCTGGATACCACAGCATCTGCAGCTTCGGTTTGTCCCTGTGTCTCCCAAGATCCCATGATCCTGTGTAGTTGCCCCCAGAAGCGGGCATCGAGAACATCTCATCTTTCTTGGAGTACATTACATGGGAGGAGTAGAAGCTGGGGTCTGTGATCCTGATGTTGGTCCACTCGCAATTTCTCTGAGCAGGCCTGCACAAGCTGAGTTGAGGTCCCAAGAACTTGATAGCTACGATGCAGTCTTCATCCTCGGGAGAAGAGGAGGACATGGCCACGTTGGTTACAATTTGGGTCTGACAATACGGCAGAGTTTCAAGAGGAGGCAGGGGAATGCGTTTTGGGTCTGTATCCGATGCATTCCGGTCTAGGTCATCTTGAAGACGCACGACCCCATTCTTCAAAGTTGCTACCCAGCCATGGGATGCTCCTATGGTTCCCATCTCCTTAAATAACTCCATAGGCGCCTTCTTTTCCTTGAACTCTGCCCCTCTGGCATAGCTGAAAAATGGCTAGACTTCCAACATCTCCATCTCTCGAAGTATATCCACAAGGTTCAACTTCAGATAAGAAATCAGAGAAGCACCGAGCGGTGAGGAGGTGTCTCTGCGGAATCAGAAGGTATTAAATCAGACATCAAAAACAGAGCAAAAACACAATCCCGAGACAAGAGAAGATGAGACAGATTACCCGGACAGATAGCTTCGACTTCGAGAGCCAGATTCGGCTGAGAGACAGAGACATGGCGGCTGCTTTTTGCTGAGGACCGATGATGAGCATATGGAAACTGGAAATAACGGAGTAAATAACCTTACCCGCTGATTGACTTTCCTAATGATAACCATAGTGAATATACCATTTTCCCACGAGAGTTATTAGTTTGATTCTGTTTTGTGATACTTATCATAAGATCGATATGTATTAAAGCAAAATTCATTTTTTTTTTTTTTAAACAAAAAGTGGAATTACATTCAGATAAGACCGACCTAATCTGACTACCAACTTCTTCATCTTCTTGTCCTTAATTCCTCTGTCAGTCGTTTCTCTTCTTCATAAGTTCATTCAAAAGTGGCATGTTCATTTGTGTTAATGACCAGGAGAAGTGCGGACCAACCCTGTTTATTTCCCTGATGCAATCAACCCCTACAACGACTTTCTATTTATTGCCTGTTGACACAGATTCATCTGCTGAGTGCTGAGGATGAGTGACTGCACTTCAACGGCAGAGTACTGAAGCTTTTCATTCACGGGGACAGCTGAAAAGCCAGACAAGAAGGAAAGAAAGAAGATTCATTAGATGTGGCTATATCAGATACAGAATAACCAGATGGGAGCAATTACGTATCCCTTGCATCGAAGTGAACAAGAGAGGTGACAAAAGTACGAAGACAAAGTAAGGTAGGATGCATTTTGAGGAATTCTAAATGAGTCTCTGCATTTTGTTATAACAAAAACACTCTTTTTTTTTTTTTTTCATTTGTCGACATTACAAAACGAGTTATCCAATTTTAACTAAGCCTATTTACGTCCAAAAAAACAAAGAAAAAACTAAGCCTATTTCGAAATCGGACTTGGGCCTCTTCAATTTTAGGGAAGGGCCCATCGGATTTAAATTGGACCACCGAATGAGATGGCCTGGAAAACGTATTGTTCCCATATGTGACTGGTCTGAAATGGAAACCGTCAAAGTCAAAACATGTCAGAGCAATCTTTTGTCGCAGCATCCCCACCAGTCTTGAAAAGCGGAGCCTGATGATCAAAAGGAACCCCTAAAAACCTCTGAAACGCATCACTTTTGTCTGCCACTTGTGACTGTGAGGATCCCAACCACACCACACCACACTGGTCGTTCATGGATTCTGGACTTCAGCAACTCGCATTGTGCTTCATCATTCTCTGCCGCCTCTTTCAAGCCACTGCCGAGGATGATGACTGGAAGATAGCCACCGCCACGCTGTCCAGAGACAAGGACGGCTCCTCCTCCGTCACCACTGGTTCTTCTTCTTCTCTCTCTCTCTCTCTCTCTCTCTCTCTCTCTCTCTCTCTCTCTCTCTCTCTCTCTCTCTCTCTCTCTCTCTCTCCTATCCAGTCCATCTATCTTTCTTCCCTCCCTGGACAGACTAACTAATTGGTGGTGGTGGTGATAGGAGGCGCCTGTGGGTATGGAGATCTGAGGCAGAGCAGCTATGGTGGGTACAGCGCAGGCCTGAGCGGGAAGCTGTTCAACAGGGGAAGCAGCTGCGGAGCTTGTCTGGAAGTGCGGTGCGTGAACCACATTCGGTGGTGCCTTCAAGGCAGCCCCTCCGTGGTGGTCACCGCCACCGATTTTTGTCCTCCCAATTCAGGCCTTTCCTCCGATTACGGAGGTTGGTGCAACTTCCCAAAGGAGCACTTGGAACTATCTCATGCCGCCTTCACAGGGATCGCAGAAACCAGAGCCGAGGTAATCCCCGTGCAGTACAGGAGGGTCAAGTGTGGGCGGAGAGGCGGGTTGAGATTTAGCTTGAACGGGAGCTCCCATTTCTTCCAGGTGTTGATAAGCAACGTGGGCCTCGACGGGGAAGTGGTGGGAGTGAAAGTGAAGGGCCATACAACGGCTTGGATTCCAATGGCCAGAAACTGGGGACAGAACTGGCACTCCTCTCTCGATCTCATCGGGCAGTCTCTATCTTTCGAGGTCACTCTCATCGGCGGCAAAACCATTGCCTCTTACGACGTCGCTCCCCCGTATTGGCGCTTTGGAATGACATACCAAGGAAAGCAGTTCCACTAGTCCTCACTCCTCACCTTTCCTTATCTTTTGAGTCATGCATGATTCACTTTCGGTGGTCTTGTGGCTTTTTTTTTTTTATACATGACTTTTGGAGACGGAGATAACCCACCTCAGTTCAATGACTTACCACGTCTGGGCCATCACTGTCTTTTTCTTTTTTCGTTAAATATACTTGGAAGTTTAAAAAATGCTCATGAGAGTTTTTGCATTTACAATCACGACTGGAAGGAAGAATATAGGCATTGCAGTCAAAATGTAATGACCCCTGGATCTCATCGTCCTATTCCTATCTTCTATAACAATAATCAGTTACTTAATTTGTATCATCACTAGCAACCAAACACACGAAACAAAAATCCTGAAGAAACAAGAAGACAAAACAAAAGAAGAAATGAGGGATTCGTGTCTGCTCGCAATCTATCCTTGAGGTGTTCGTATGTCATGTTCGTATGTCAAAATTCAACGCAAGTATAACCATCCCATTCTATTCACTCATCATTGGACCCATACACGTATGGAACACGGTGCTTAAGACTTGTGGGACTTGTGAGGAGCTGTGCTCACTCCGCACAAGCTCCACCAATAATGGGAAAAAAATTGGTGCATACCTCTTGAATGAATCTCTTTTCAGTCCCCTCAGTGCCTTCAGCACCGCAACCACTAGGGGAGACCTCGCTGCAGCTTCTTCCTTCGATGCTGCTCCCAAGGGTAGAATCCAGTTTTGGGGCTGCCGGGTTTCTTCCAGCTCTGCACCTTCAAACAACGTGCATTTCAGGTACATCTTCAGAATTTTCACACACACTGTGATCAGTTGCGACTCTATATTTAGCTCCAAGGACACTTTTGGATTGTATGTTAGTAGGTCTTGAAGAACATCCAGGTAATTCTGGTGAGTGTCATTTTCGAAATGAAGCATGGGTGGTTCAGAGAGTTCCAGGATGGAGCATGACCTCCTCACTTTCTTCTGCAGTATCAAATCAAAATTTAGCTGGTGGGCGTGTGATGAGATTGATGAGAGTATCTCCAGTATAACTGTGACATGAGATGACAACAATGACTGCTGATGGATTCGGTAGAGATCGGTCACTACCTGAAAACAGGATAAAATAGAGCAGTGAGCGAGGGCATCAGATCATTATTATGGAGCAAGGCAAAGTAACGCATACAACACTTCTAGGTTCATTTTCGTACGGGCTCAGTGTGTTCTTTAACATCTTTATTCTTCACGTTTGTTAGCCATGAGTCAAAGCTTGGTAACTCATTGCATAGTAAGAACATTTTGTACATACCTGAACAACTTGTAACTGGACGGTTATGTGACTCTTTGTTCTTGAAACAACATAAGACATAGTTTGCAGGTTTTCCTCGTCCACGTCATCTTCATTACTAAAGTCCTGATCAGACAATGTTTCCTCATCTGAAATGTCATCTATGGTTCTCAGTATCTTCATGAAACTAGACAATGTCAATGAAGCAGCTTCTTTCACAGCCAAAAATATCTCCTTCCACTCATCTTCTGAGAACCTGCCACCCAATTCGTCTGCCAACCGCAGCAACGCACCGATTCCAGCTACTGTAGGACCCTGAGCTGGCCCCTTTATAAGACCAGCAAGTAAAGATACCACACTTGAAAGTTGAGACCTTAGCACAGTAAAAAAACTGACAAATAGATCCACCAGAGACTGTGCCGCCATAGCTGAAGTCTCAGCATCCCAGGAAGCTCCATTAAAATGTGGAGAAAATGTGGATGGCAATGAACTGTGTTCATCTTTAGAAAGTAGATCATTATCGCCCCACGCACTGTTAAATATAGGATAAATAACTGAACTGAGAATGCCGATCCAGAACGTTTGTGAGAAAAGATGGCCATGATCCTTTAAAATATTAAAGAGCACTTCCAAGGAGCTTTTACGAATTGCTAATCTAGAATCAGAAGTTAGTTTAGACAATCCTGTAATAAAAATAAAAGAATTTGATTAGAATCAGGGAAATGTCCTTTCCTAACTTCCCAGGACATTTATATCAACCAAGTTTGACGAATTATCAAAGGAATATGTATCTGATAGTATCAATTCAAAAATCTTAAGGTGCCCAGAATATCTGTGGTGCGTTTAAATCGAGGTATTATTCGCAGATTAATAATATAACAGATTACCTGTGAGCAAAGGAACCCAATATGATATGTTCTCATCTACTTGCATGAAATTTTGGGTATTTGGTGCATAATCATCTGTTACTGGAATACCGGGACTGCTAGACCTACCCTTCTCATTCCACACAAGGCCTCCGTCTGCAAGTTTTAGTGCACAAAATCGTAGAAACGCGATAGCATTCAGGCTAACATCGCTGGTAAACTTGCTGTTGGTGAAAGTTACAAGACATCTAACACAATCAGTAAAAGTTGTTGCCTCCGTTTCTGTTATATATGGAAAATACTCTCGGACAATTTTTTCCATTGTCTCAAAGGCCAACACCACAATGTTCTTCCTTTCATCAGCTGCCGCAGTTGTGAATACCTGAAAGGGAATTGGCTACTTAGTAAAACATGTCAACCACTAGAGCATGCCTTGAAAAAAAAATTCATAAACAGATAAACTACTTGGCATAATATCTTGGGTTTAGCGCTGTTCTCTTAATATGAGCTGAATCATATATGTATCTTCAAATATAGGTGGATGCAAGGATAACAGAATATACCTTGAAAACACTTTTCCACCCTGATTTCACATTACTAACACGGCTGAGTACCATTTGAGAAATGCACCGAACTATTAGTTCTCTAATTTCAGCAGAACTGCTTTTCTGCATAACAATGACAAACGGACGTAGAAATTCATTCTGGAAGTTGTAATTAGCAAGCTCCTCGCGTTCCAAGAACTTCATAGAAAGTTGTCGTAGTGAGTCCATAACGAATATTGCAACAGAGAGATTCTCTGACAAGCCAACAGATACAAAAAAATCGGATAGGATGCTCCAT